GTGCCCCCGAGTTCAATCCTGTTATTTAAAAAAAAAAAAAAAGAATGGTGGCACTTGCTCCTTTACTGTTGGAAATATTACCTTCAGAGAATCCAAAGCTAAGTCCCTCCTCAGACTTGCTCAAGCTTAGGCCTCCTCCTCAGTGGTAGCCTGAGTCCTATGACTACATGATGTGGAGATGGAGGGAAGAAGAGATACCTCAATTAAATGACTCTGCAGGGTCATCCCCTCTCCAGGACTCCCTGTGAAATCAGCTACCAACTTCTCACTCAATTGGAATAACTCTGTTAAAACTCTCCCTTTCTTTAATGTCCTGACAGCAACAATGCCCTCCTTCCTGTTCCTTGATTTGTATAGGAACCCTACTGCCCCAAAGGCCTTTGCACTTGTAATTTCCTCTTTCCACTGGATCAATCCTTTACCTCCTTGAGGTGTTTAATTTATAATATCACCTTCCTACTATGGTCTTTCCTAACTCCACATACATACACTCATTTCTCTTTCCCTCTTTATGTATCAACATCTAATATATATGTGTTGGGTTTACTATTTCCACAAGCAAAGTTAAAAAGGATTTTGTTTTGTTGTTATATCCCTGTCAAAGGATTTTTGTTTTGTTTTGTTTTGTTGTTATATCCCTGTCAAGTAGTCTAAATTCTTTAATTCTACTTGGGAATCTTTTGTGGTGGGCTAGAAAGAGCTGTCAATGGTCTGTAAGTATAGAAGATGGAGATCCTCCTGATAACCTACTGGGAAGTATTGATTTATGTTTTCAAAATACCTGTGCCCTTAGCTGGACATAGAAACTCATAGTTCTAGCAACTCAGGAGGCTGAGGCAGGAGGATTTCTTGAACCCAGAAGTTTGAGACCAGCCTGGACAACATAGAGAGACCCCCATCTCAGAACAAACAAACAAATGAAACAAAAGACATATGGAATGTTTACACCACAAATGATTATTTTCAGGAGTTGGTGTGCATATGATAAATAATTGGTCATTTCTCAATTACTACATTCAATTCTTCTTGATTTTCTTTTTTTTTTAATTCACAAAAGAAACATCTGAATCTCACAGAATTTAGTCATTTTTCCTGTTCAATTTTATCCTTGAAGCCAGGCAAATAAGAAAAACTTCTTTTTGAAATAATATCCTGCACCAATATGTTAAATGTGTATAATTATTAGAAAATTAATTATCCCAAGATTATTTAATTAAATAATAAGCTAGTAGTGTTGAAGTCTTTCTCAGAATATAAAGAAATGAGTATGCACTGAGAATTTCCTAAAACAATGTCAGAGCTACAAATAAAATCCGTTCCTTTTTCTTTTTTTCCACAATATATTTTTTTAATTCAAAGATCATTATACATTATTTCATAAGCATTACTTCTTTGGAAAAGGACTGGATAAGTCAGTTGTTTCATGAGTTCATGCGTGTACAGTATTTCTTAGCTCTTGTACTTACCCAGTAACATCAGTGATTTTAGCAGAAACCTACTTCTGAGGCACCATCCCAGGCCCTCCCTGCTTGGAAACAAGGGACCCTCTCATGCTGCTCTTGACTGGTCTATTCCATTCCAGAGACCATGCCCCAGATATTCAATCCAGCCAAGGTAAAGTAGTAAAGCCAGACAGATATCACCACAAAATGTAGTCTGTCTACATTCTTTATTCTGATCTGTATTTCTCACAAACTCTCAAAAGGAAGAAGGTAAAGAAAATGAATGCTACTGATAAGATGCTAAAGACAGATAACAATTATAGACAAAAAGACAAACAATTCATTATTATAAAATATTAGTGTTATGGTTTGGATATAAGATGTCCTCAAAGAAGCTCCTATTAATGTGGGAATGTTCAAAGGTGAAAGGATTGGATTATGAGAGTTGTAACTTAATTGGTCCATCCTTGTTTGAATGGACTGACTTGGTGGTAACTGTGGGCAAGTATTGTGTGGCTGGAGGATGTGGTAACTGAGGATGTGCCTTTGAAGGATGCATCTGCCCCAAGGCCTCTTCCCACCCCACTTTTGTTTCCTGACCTCTCCATGAACTGAACAGCTCCACTGAGCCCATCCCCCATGATGTGCTGCTGCCTCATCTTGGGCCCTGAGCAATAAAGTTGGCCATCTATGGATTGAAACTGCTGAAACTATGAGCCCCAAATAAACCTGTCTTCCTCTAACTTGTTCTTGTCAGCTGTTTTGGTCAAAGCAAATCTAACTAAAACAATTAGCTATCTGGTTATAAAACAAAGCTTGATCCCTACCTCAGACTGTTCACTAGGATCCACGTAAGTTAAAGGCCTATGTATATGAAATATAAAAATTTACAGTATAGCAATATGGTAAAAAATACATATTTATATAAAACTGTTGGCCAAAGAAGCCTTTTAAAAATAAGATACAAGTATAAACCATAAATTAAATAAAAAATTAAAAATTTTGAATAACAAAACATACTATTGAAAACATCAAAGAAAAATGACAGATAAGAGTATATTCTTGTAAAAAATCAAAAAAGGATTAGGACCCAGAATACATGAAGAACTTTTAAAACACAATAAGAAAATGAAAAACTAAAAAAAAAAAAATTATAAGATCTGCACAGACACTTATGAGAAAAGATATCTAGATAGTAAATAAGCATATAAAGATGTTTATCACCATACGTCATTAGGGAATTGCAAATTAAAACAAGAAAATGCCACTGTGAGACACTTTTTAGAATGCCTAAATCCAAAACATTGACAACACCAAAATCTGACAAGAATGTTGAGCAAGAGGAAATTTCATCCCTTACTGATAGGACTGAAAAATGGTGCAGACATTTGGAAAAACAATTGGGAAGTTTCTTATAAAACTAAACATACTCTTACCATATGATACAGCAATTGTGTGTTCTTTAATATTTACCCAAATCTGTTGAAAACTAGTGTCTACACAAAAATTTATGGATGCATATTTTTAGCAGTTTTATTCATAATTATCAAAATAGTAGCAACCACGATATACCTCATTCACCAGTGAACACACGCTGGTGCATCCAAACAATGGCTTATCATTCAGCACTAAAAACAAATGTGCTACTAAGTCGTGAAAAGACATGGAAGAAACTTAAGAGCATATTACTAAGTGAAAGAAGCCAATCTGCCAGGCATGGTGGTACACACCTGTAGTTCCAGCTACTTGGAAACTGAGACAGAAGGATCGCAAGTTCAGGGCTAACCAGGGCAACTTAGCTAGCAAGAGCCTGTCTAAAAATAAAATTAAAAAAAAAAAAACAAACTGGGAGTATAGCTCAGTGGTAGAGTGCTTGCCTAGCATGTGCAAGGCCCTGGGTTCAATCAGAAAGGAAATGGAGTAGAATTAGTTGGTCATAACTTTCCTAGCCTTGTATTTGTATACACAATCAGGGTAACTCCACATTAGACTGCTCTAAAAAAAAATGATCTATTTTAAAATACTATGCAACTATTTAAAAAAAAGCAGTATGCAAAATATGCTAACATAATTTTCCTGAAGATGGATTATTGAATTTAAAAAGCTTATTATGAAGAGTTTATATATAATATGGTCTTATTTATATAATATAAACCAGGTACTAGATATGCAAAAACATTAAATGTATGTGCACCAAAAAAGTCTGGCTATATATATTGTTAACACTGGTTCCTTCCTTGTGGTAAGAGTGGAGTAAGAAAAATAAAATTTCACTTTTTTATTTGCTTTATATAAATGTTCTATATAGTTTGAATGTTTTACAATAAACCTTTTACTGTAGTAATACAAAATAATTTCAAAAGGATGCCCACTTTTTAAACTATCCTTGTATTTTTAAAATCTATTTTAAGTCAGTGTTTATGAAAATATGGTCCAAGAAATGCCTGGGGCGGGGGGTGGGGTTGTAGATCAGTGATGAAGTGCTTGCCTGGCCTGTGTGAGGCACTTGGTTTGATCCTTAACACCACATAAAAATAAAGTTGTTGTGTCCATCTACAACTAAAAAATAATAATAAAAATAAACAACCTAGGGGTGTTTATTAAGAATATATATACTCCCTCGATTCCATTCCAACTCTAATGCATCAGGACCTGTACAAGTGACATATAGGGCTTTACATGCCTAGCAACAGCACCAGGTGATTCTCAAGTGCAATTAAGTCAAAATGAATAAATACAGTTGCCTAAAAATCAATAAATATCAACAACCTCCTAGATAAACACCTACCAGTTACCTGTCAGTCTAAAACTGAAAAACAACAGTTAGCAAAAGCTCGGTCCCAAGAAGGGAATAGCTAAATATCTAAAACAATGGCTGAAGTCATGTCATGAACCATGGCACACTCTAAAGAAACACTGTGGCAAGGAAGAAAGGACTATTAAATTATGTAGAGGTAAAAACTACCAAATGTGCCTAACTTCCTTTCTCCCTCTCATAATTCCCATCTGGTTATACACAGAAGCAACAATATTTGAGTAACTGTAAATCTGTTTAATGATTCTAATATTGAAATGAATTTTCTCATGCTTAACAATGAGGTGCAGACCTAAGAATGAGCACTTTCTAAAGAGACCAGGACTTAAATAATCAAGAAAACTGATTTTTATATCCATTCCTACTGCCACTTAAAAATGTATCTTGACTTGTTTATACTCTACATTTGAGTCAAAAGCATAGAAACTGAAGACTATAATTTATATAGAGATCCCTTCTATCTTTCACTAATTGAGACATCATCTTGAAACATTCCCTAGAATCTAAGTTATGCATATGATGCCTCTCTATAATACAATCTAGAGCAGATTTATGCCACACTATGCCAGCCAAAGGGGGAAGTTACTAGAGTCGTAGAAGACTTTTCAATAATTGGCCCCATTACAAAAGCCCAAAATTAGTGGAGCAGGGCAGACTCACAAACTTACCAAGGTTCAATGTATTCACCTACATTCCACTTTTAAATTATAAAATTTCTAAGAGTTCTGTCTTTTTTCTTTTAGCTTTATCTATAAGTGATCCATCTTTCAGAAGTAATGAGTTATCCTGGATGTCTTTTGCTTCTTTTCCCATTCGAAAAAAAACACATATTAAATTGCAGTTTCAACCTCTTGCTGCAGATGGCATCCTATTTTATGCTGCACAACACTTAAAAGCACAGTCAGGTAAGGTTGACAGAATCTTTGCAGAAAAAATTTAAAATTCTAGTGAATTTCAAAGAGCCTATTAAATAATATGTGATAATGCTGTCTAATTTTTAAGTTACTCTGTAAAATATGTAAACACTTGATGTTTGATTGTCACTGCTTACAAATCCAGCTTCCCCCCAAATATAAATGCTAATAAAATAGCAAGAAGTTTTGGGAAATTAAAGCTAGAAAAATCCAAATATATAGTATATGCTCAATTTTATAACAATCTCATAAAATAAAAGTTTAAGTCATGTGTTATGGTTCCAATATTAGGTGTCTCCACAAAGCTTATGTGTGAGAAAATGCAAGAAAGTTAGAGGTGGAATCATTGGGTTATGAGAGAATCAGCCTAATCCATGTGTTAATCCTCTGATAGGGATTGCTAAGTGGTAACTGAAGTGTGTACCTGGAGGAGGTGGGTCATGAGGGGACATGCTTTTGGGATATATATTTTATCAGGCGGAGTCACTTCTTCTGGTGCCATGTCCTGAGCGGCTTTCATCCACCACACCCTTCCACCATGATGGTCTACCTCACTTAGGGCCCAGAGCAATGAATGACTTTGGAACATGAATCCTAGATTTATTATTTGGATAAAGGAATGATCTAAAGAGAATTTTTAGAGCTATAAATGAAGACAAATCTTTCTGGAATTTATCATACATAATTTCCTTTGCTTTATTTTTATATGCATATTTTGTCCGTTTTGACATAAGAATATCAAGTTTTGTGTTTTAGTCAGCTTTGCTGCTGTGATCAACAGATCTGACAGAGCAATTTTACAGGAGGAAATGTTTATTTGGTGCTCACAATTTCAGAGGTCTTAGTCCATAGACTGCTGACTTCATTGCTCTGGGTCCTGAGTTGTTAAGTACCCTGGTTTTAATCCCTAGGACACCCCCTCCCCAAATCTAAATTTTACATTCTTAGATTAACCTAAAAATAATTATCAAAGACATAAGCTTATTTTTTAGCAATCAAGTAGCATATTTTAGAATATTTTTGTATAAAATTATTTTAATGTGTCATTATTTTAGAATGTTTCATTTATTCAAGTACATAAGATATAACTGATTGTCCTGTACTTTCTATATTTTCAAAAAGCTATGTCTGATATAAACATTAACCAAGCCTTCATAGTCAAGCCTCTGCTAAAAGTTAGTAAAATAGTTAATAAACAATGTCAAAACTCACAAATTTCAACATCAGTGATCAATTGGGTTTTTAATAGGTGGAACACTAAATTCTCAATTAACAAGTTTCCTGTATCTCTTTAGAGGTTAATAATTTGAGCAGTCTCAAATAGTATGTAAAAAAAAATTTAAATTAGCCTATTTCAATAAAATAATTTTGTATTGATTGAAGATTTTGGAAAAGATATGAGATAAGACAATGGTTTCTATTCATCTGTATGTTAAAAATTTAACACTCAAAATGATTTTTGATATATAAAATTACCAATATTTTGTTAAGAACCAATCAATCATCTGAATTCATCTTGATATAATTCTTCCAAATGTGTTTTTTTAAAGTCTAGTCATCCACAGTGTTAAATATATTTATGTAAATATATTCAAATAACATATTTATCTTTGATTTCCTTTTCTAGGGAAAAAGTATACTAAATTTCTCCAGTATGCTGTTTCTAAAGTCTCTTCACATACATTAGGTTTCTGGGGGTGGCATAGGATGGGGTACAGGCAATGGCAGAACACATGGGCAACTTGGCAGGTGATATTATAGATTTCCTAATCACATTAAGATATTTTTATTATAGTAAAAAATAGCTTTTTACTATAGGATTTACTACCACAAGTAGAAAGAAAATTCTTCCACAATTGTGAAAGAGAAACTGGTTTGTATTCACTTGCAAACCACAAAGCATATTCAAGGTGTATAACATTTTTCCCTTTAATACCAACTGTTTCATTGTTCTAGTTTCCTGGGTTTTGAATCATTAAATAATCCAATCTGTAGGGTTTTTTTTAAAAATATAAGCTATTTTTGTTATGTTGCTTTTCTTTTTTCTTATACTTAATATGTTGTTCAAGTTCAAATTTTTTAAATAAACTTCCTTTGCTGAGAAATTTTAGAAACTTTTCATATTACAGGAAAAACACACTTCTCTTTTAAATCAAATTAGTGTAAGAAGTATTCTCAACCATCTCACCCCATAACCCTACAAAGATATATCTCCTTATTCCAGTTATTCATCAACATCTACTTATGTGTTTGGTACTAAAGTGTTGGTCCAAATTCACAGATCCTCTTCTTACAAAACCTAGAAGCTGGTGGATGGAGCAGCTATTAATCAAATCATCACATAAGTAATGACATAGAAGATTGAATACTCAAAAATTCTGAGAAAACTGATCAAAGGAAGAGAATTATATGTAGTGTGATAGGTGTAAAACTGTAGAATTGCCAAGTCTTTCAACCATTCTAGAATGGTCTGGTGTAGCCTAGAAGGGAGAATGGAATGCAAGGACACTATTTTGGGAAGGGAGATGAGGCAGTAGGACGCTCCAGAGGAAGAAGGAAGAAAAGTAGCATAGTGTCAAATATTCCTGGTTTAGAAAAGTAAGGGAGTGTGAAAATGCTAGAGGAGAACATTTGGGGAGAGGTTTCTGTATGGCTTCGTATGTAAACCACTTAGCTACTCCTGAAGCCATCTTACATTGAAGAACTATGTTCTTTCCCATGTGTGTAGAGATGTTTTTACTTTTTCTCTGCATATCTCCCTGCACTTTCAGATGCTAGGTCATATTTGTTCAGATGTAATTATGTAATTATAAAATGAAGGAAGTGTTATGAAGGAGGGAAAAAGTACTGGAGGGGTGGTGGGACCTGACCAACTCCAGGAAATGCAGGAAGACTTCTCTGAGGAATTGGTATTTGATCTGAGAGCTGAGGGATAAGTTTCCTGATGAGATGGGCTAGGATGGAGAAGTGTTCCAAGAAAACATGCACAAAGCTCCAATGCAGAAGGATGGAACCTCTAACAAGGTCGTTGTTGAAGTGGAGTGTGGAAGAGTAGAGAATGGGAAACTGCAGATTAAGTTGAAGAGTTTTGTCATCTCTCCCAATAGCAGCATTAAAAGATGGCCTAACAATCATTTGAAAATATCACTTTAGCTTTAGTATAGATAAGACAATCAATTGGAAAAGAAAAAAGTGGAGGTTTTTGAGGCTTAGGTTCAAGAATTAAATAAATGAGGGAGGAGTGACTCACTGAACTCGGGAAGACTGGAAGAGGCCAGGTTTATGGAAGGAAATTCACAAATCAGTATAAACGTGGGAGCTTGAGATACCTTTAAAACACACAAGTGGAGGGGGCTGGGCTTGTGGCTCAGCGGTAGAGCACTCACATAGCATGTGTGAGGCCCTGGGTTCGATCCTCAGCACCACATAAAAATAAACAAAATAAGTGTATTATGTACAAATAAAAAACAAATATTAAAAAATAAATAAAACACACAAGTGGAAATCTCCAAGTTGGGATCCATGTACTTGTAGGCAGAACTGGAAGAAAAGAGAAACTGTTCGTAGAGCATATACTATTAGTTTTGATAGTACCACTATGAACTTCTCTCTTTCCCATTCCCTTGCCTACCTCCCCAATATCTGATCAAAAACAGGACCAATGATTTGGAATAAAACATTCAAGTTACTTATTTTTGCACTTTTGCTTCAACTAAATCATCTAAGAAAAAAAATTTTCAATTAAGTGCAATTCATCTACTCAGTAATTAAAATTCTCTATGCTCACTCCTCCACCCGCCCCCAACCAAACCTTGGTCTAATTGGCCACAAAAATAAAAGTTATTAATGAAAGTAGTGAAATTATTAAATCTTTTTCTTTACAGGTGACTTTTTATGTATCTCCCTAATAAACGGTTTTGTTCAGCTTCGCTATAACCTTGGTGATAGAACTCTCATTCTGGAAAGTCTCCAAAAAGTAACTATTAATGGAAGCACTTGGCATGTGATTAAAGCAGGACGCATTGGTGCTGAAGGCTACTTGGACCTGGATGGAATAAATGTAACAGAAAAAGCCTCTGCTAAAATGAGTTATCTGGATACAAATACAGACTTCTATGTTGGAGGAGTATCATATTTACATCTTGTAAATCCCATGGCCATAGCAAGTGAACCTGTGGGTTTTCAAGGTTGCATTCGAGAAGTTATTATAAATAATCAAGAACTGCAGCTAACTGAATTAGGGGCAAAAGATGGCTCTAATGTGGGTGACTGTGATGGGACAGCTTGTGGGTATAACATTTGCAGAAATGGGGGCAAATGCATAGTTAACGGTACAACCTTTGCTTGCAGATGTTCACCACATTGGGCTGGAAATACATGTAACCAGTCTGTGTACTGTTTGAATAATTTTTGTCGCCACCAATCTCTATGTATACCTAGCCAATCATTTTCTTACAGTTGTCTGTGTACTTCAGGTTGGGTGGGAAGGTACTGTGAAAACAAAATTTCATTTTCAACTGCAAAGTTCATAGGTAATTCTTACATTAAATTCATTGACCCAAATTACAGAACAAGAGACCTTCAGTTCACAACTGTATCCTTAAATTTCAGTACTACTGAAACAGAAGGCTTAATTATATGGATGGGAAAAGCTCAAAATGAAGAAAATGACTTTCTAGCTATTGGTCTTTATAATAAAATCTTGAAAATAGCAGTTAACCTAGGAGAAAGAGTCTCTGTATCCATGAGCTATAGCAAAGCCACATTCTGTTGCAACAAATGGCACCATATACTTATAATTCAAAATCAAACTCTTATTAAAGCTTACCTAGATAACAGTCTAATCATTTCTGAGGACATTGATCCACACAAAAAGTTTGTTGCCCTAAACTACGATGGTATCTCCTATTTAGGAGGCTTTGAATATGGTCGAAAGGTAAATGTTGTTACTCAGGAGATTTTTAAGAGAGACTTCATTGGCAAAATTAAAGATGTTGTATTTTTTCAGGATCCACAAAAAATTGACTTAATTAAATCTGAGGGATACAATGTTTATAATGGAGATGAAAAAAATTAGGTACATAATATTGGGCATTTTAATATACAAAATATGTGTAAATGCAGTTATTTTGATAGTCCTTTCTGTCACATTGTTAATGAGTAAATGAAAATGTTACCACTAATAAGCAGTCTATAGATGGGAGTGAGGGGAGGAGGGGTGGGTTTGTGGGCATGGGAAGGACAGTAGAATTAGACATTATCACCTTATATATATGTAAGATTACACTACTGATGTGACTCTGCACTATGTACAACCAGAGAAATGAGAATTTGTGTTCCATTTGTGTACAATGTGTCAAATGCATTTGCTGTCATGTATAATTAGAACAAATAAAAAATAAGCAGTCTAAGTAAGTCCTAATACATCTTCTTGGTAAATTTGTAAATTATACATTGTTACTTTTCCTACATCTAAGTATCTACAAATGTGTTGATTCTTTAAGTTTAAACTTCATTAGTTCATTCAGAATTTTTCTTAAATAAAATTTAGAAATGAATTAAGAAAAAGTTGTTAACAAAAATTATACAAAATATAACCACATTCTACTACTTGGCTCACAGTCATAAATCTTTATATAATTGCAACAATGAACTTGAATATGAATTTAAAACACATAGGAATGGGGAGGGTAAGGAAGAGTGGGTCGGTAAGAGCTTAAGTCTTTATGCTAAGACACTGAGACATAACAGTATTTGTAATTTTTAAAATGGCATATTCATGTCACATATAAGCATGAAGGCAATCTTAAGAATTTAAAGTGGTTGCCTCTAGAGTAGTGCTGAGGATTGTTGTTTATAACTCTTGAACAACTACTTGAGTTTATAACCATATGCCTATTTAACTGATCAAACTTAAAATTAAACTACATGTTTTTATAGTCTAAAACCTCAAAACTGGCCATAAACGTTCTGAATGTCACTGAAAATTACTTTATCCTATTATCCTAATAATACACACCATCAAAAGCTTGAGAAATATTTTGCTCAAACACAAGACACTGATATAATTGGGAACAGCATTTCCACAACTTTCCACTCCCATGCCATCAGTGCATACCAGAAAGTAGTTATTACTGTTGTTACTTAGCATTTTCAGCAATTAATATCTGATGACAATTGTGGCAAGAAGAAAACAAATGACTGCATTCAGACCTGCCTTGGAGCATCAACATGTGGAAGAGGTTATAGGGAAGGTACAAGGATGGGGAAGAGCATGTAAAGTTTAAAAGGAAAACTGGAATTATCAATCAAGTAAGTGGAGAAAACGTTACACAGTTACACAGATAAAGAATGATGAGTGTGTAGTTAATATCTATCTATGCATTCTTCAGCCCATTCAAGGGGACTAAGTAAGTAATTTATCATTTAAAGAATTTTTACAGATTTGCTTTTTGTTTTGTCTTGTTACTTGGGTCACTCTAATCTATAGGAATTCCTGGAAGGACCAAGGAGCAAAACTAAGAACTTGAGTATCATTGAATAGGGTACAAAGTGTTTCTACACATATTGTTCCTATTAACACTAAGATGTATGAAAAGTAGAATATATTGTAATGCAGACTTGCAGAATGTCTGCACAATGATTCAAAGTTTTTTTTTTCTGTTTTTAAACAGAGGCCACTCATGATAACTCCTCCAATATTTGAAGGAAATCTCTGACCTAAACTTGCTTTGGTGCACACCATTGCAATGAACTTTGGAGATACTGAGATTATGAGGATAAATGTTCTGAAAAAAAAAACTTTTTGGAAGCTCATAGTCAAACCTTTCAAAATACACATCCTATGTGTGAAGAAAGCTGTTCTATGGACAGTTACAATAGCTTCCTGGAAATTTTCGTCCAAATCTCACTCCCATCATATCAAGCCATGTGTTCTTTCTTTAAAGCAACCCTTCCAAGTGTGGTCCAGTGTCCTCTATGTGAAGCCATATTTTCTTCATATACTCAAACAAAATGCCATATTGCAAACACTGAATGTAGAAGCAGATAACATAATCCAGTTGTCTTAAGGAAAATATGCAAAAATGAAAACAATGACACTCTTCTCACTAAACTGAGTTAGTTTGGAAGTTATTTTTCATACAAATATATAACACAATGGGATTATTAAGTTTAAGATATTGAAGTTATCAGTTTAATTTATAATAAATTAAATAACAATATAACCCATATAAACAAAAGCTTCAGTATTCTCAATAAACTATAAGTTTTTCAAATCAAAAATTTGGAATTTCTTCTTGCAGCTTCAATTTTGCATTCAGATGTTATCACTTATCTTCTATACTATACAGCAAGCTCAATAATGTTGGACCCTTTCCATGTTGCTCATTGAATTCCAATAACTAAGCATACCAAATGGATACATAGTAAATATTTAAGAATTGGAAAATATTTCCTAGAGATTCTCTGGTAAGTCAGAATGACTTGGTGAAAACTTTTTTTTCCATCTTAAACTCTTCATATGGTCAATAATCAACATTCCTGTTTTTGCTATTTTACTGGTGATGGTATTGATGATTTCCTCTGATAGGTGCTTTTTCAGCAGAAAATAAAAGTGACTGATACAAAAAGATCTTTAAGATAATTTCACTTTAAACATTCTGATGTTTCTGAAACAAAATGCTGAATACAAACTTATAAAGCAAAGTCAAACAACAAATTCCTGGAAAAGAAAAATACCCCTACTTGGAAAAAATTTTCTTTTAAAATTAAAAATATTCTTAAAAGACAATTTGGAATGATACACATATATATGTATACACAGTGAATTATTTCATAGAGGTAGAGGTATTTTAGAGATATTTGGAGTTATATTGAATTTATTGCCTTTTAAGTACATATGCTAGCATTTCTCTCAATGGCTGGTAACTATTAAGATTCAACTTAGGAGTGGATTTGAGTGTTTAAGACAACTTTTTTCTAGCTGTTGACTTGTTATACTTGTTCTCAACTCACTCTAATACCTTCTTGCTCTATACATGAATTACTAAAATACTTTATGAAATAGCAATTAAAGAAATCAGAGTGCTTGGAACTTTTTAAAAAACAGAACCAAAACTGAACCCCAATATTATGTATAACTATAATGCAATAATAAAAAATTTTAAAAAGCAGCACCAATTTTACTTGTGATTTGTTTTGGGAGACACAAACTAAATATGGCTTATTATTTTTTATTTTTAAATATTGTTTATTGTACTTTGTAAATCCCTAGTAACTGGTAACCTGACCAATGTTTTAGAGGAATCTGAGATGGGAATAGTACAAGTGGCACATTCAAATGTTAAAATTAAGTAAAATTGTTTTTACTGAGTTCATTATCAAGCTCTCATAATGAATTCAACTTACCTGATATACTTTACACAGCTACTATTAAAAACTTAGGAGACAAATGTATACTTACCTATTAAAAGCAGTCTTATAACACAGGATAGTTATTTACATGTTACACGAGTATAAAAACATTTGCAATACTCAAGCAGCTTAACACCACTCCATTTTCTTCTCTATTGTTGCTATTATTTATTATGGCCTTAGATATTCCATAACTCCAAAAATCTAACATTAGTTCATCAACAACTAAGCTATAATTAGCAAGTCTAGATAGAACAATGGTCCACAAAAGAAAAGAAATGCACCCTGCTGACTTCCTGACTTGACTCAGATCAGACTCATCTAAAGAACCATGAGATAATAAATTTGTGTGGCTTTATGGTAATTTGTCACAGCAGCAATAGAAAACTTAGAGGACTAGAGAATTAAGATTTATGATTTATAAATACCTTGCAATTCTACACCCCCCCCCCAAAAAAAAAAAAAAACCAAAGGTTTTTTGGTTGTTTTTTATTCACTTGGAATTGGGCTGATCAGTGAAGGATTTCAGAAAGGTTGGTGGAAGAAGAGGGGTATGAAAGCTGTATAAAATATTCAGACTTTTTGCTCCTCACTCTTTCATTTTCAATTCTCAAAGCACAACTGCTAAGCACATGGACTCTGGAGAAAAAGCAGACCTTAGCTAGGATTCCAACTCTGAAAACAGCAGTCTAATCTTGGGCAATTTTTCTAAATTCTACTTTCCTCAGCTCTAAAATAAGTCTTTACCTATCAGGGACAAACTAGACTCATGTAAGTATTCAACACAAGGCTTGGCACACAGAGGCTCACAAGTTTTTGTATCACTACACGGTTACAAGGGGTGAACTTTATATGCAATGAGATATCCTCGTACATTTTACTTTTTATATGCAATGAGATATCCTTGTACATTTTACTTACCAAAGATATATAATACAAGCCGTGGTAAGATCATTCTAAATCTTTAAAAAAATGTCAAACATTTTGTAAAGAGCAAGTTTTTCTTAAAACAGGAAAAACTGAAAGATGAAATTTATAGACTTCACTAGTTTAAGGCTAGTTGTAGGTGAGACTCAAGAGACTAAGAATGGCATTGGATCTACTACTCAACACAAGAGTGTTTTCCCATTCTTTCTTCACAAGGAAAACTTCATGCTTAATGTGGCTTTCCCACCTCTCCACGATATTCCAGTCAACCAGGGTTTGTTAAAAGGCTTAGTTCTGGAACAGAGCAGTAGCTCAGTGGTTAGGAGTGCTTGCCTACCTAGCATGTACTCTAGGCCTGAGACCCTGGGTTCAATCACCAGCACCATTGGGGGGAAAAAAAAATCTGGTTCTAACATTTGGTAGTCCTGTAATTCTAAGAGATGGCATGGCCAACACTAGCTGGAGGCTATTTAGGCTTTGCCTATTCAAAACAAAAGCAAAAACAACAACAAAAAAAAACTTGTATCAAGATTCAATGAGATATAAGGCAGGTATGGTGGTGCACACCTGTAATCCCAGCGACTTGGGAGCATGAGGCAGGAGAATCATAAGTGCAAAGCAAGCCTCAGCAACTAAGCAAGGCCTTATGCAACTTACCAAAACCTTGTTTCAAAAAATAAAAAGGGCTGGGATGTGGTTCATTGGATAAGCACCCTATGTTCAATCATGGGTACAAAAAAAAAATTTTTTTTTAATCAATGAGATATGAGCAAAGAATTTCAGAGCAAGCATCAAATTATGTTCAAAAAACTTAGCTAAATGGTGTCCAAACACTGACTTCAAGGCTTGATCTTCCCATTCAATAACTTATTGATTTTAACTTGTACCTTACCAATCTGGTATCAGATTAACCCCTGAACCATGTAGATGGGTTAAGTCGATTTACTGACAACATACACATTTGTAAACCCTTAACAGCAATTTCTTCATAAAGATGCAAAAGATGACTGACTTTTGGCTTTGTTTGGGGACTATCCCCCCACTCCAAACAAGTTAATTTCCAAAAGAAATGGTGACCAAAGTTAAACAGACATTATATAAAGAAAAGTCCCTTATTTTAGAACTTTCATGATAATAAATTTGAGAAGATAAAAGATTTTTTTTTTTTTTTAAAGTGTTGCAATTTAAGATTAAATGTTTGGTTCTTGGTTCTGAATTTCCTCTTCAATAAAAACTGCAAGGCTAATTTAATTTTAAAACCAAATTTTAACTGTACTCTTTAGAATCTTAGAGTCTTTGAAGTTATTTATATTTTTCTTCAGAGGTGTAAGTAGATTACTAAAAATATGGTTTCCCTGCCCCCAACACAATGTTTTTTTTTTTTGGGGGGGGGGGTCTGAAGTGTCAGCATTAAATTATAGAATTATAGCTATTGCTTTAAATTATAGATGTCAATAGAGTATATATTTTAGGGTGCAATTAGATTTGGATGAGCATTAGCTTCCATGTGCTTTATATTTCAAGTATAACTGGCATATTAAATCATACAGGTGCCCTACAAACAAATCAGGGATAATTATGCATGTTACAAAAAGATCCAAAACACATCTCATTTAAAATTTTGTAGTGGGCTAGGCATGTGGCTCAAGCAGTAGCGCGCTCACCTGGCATGCACAGGGCGCTGGGTTTGATCCTCAGCACCACATAAAATAAAATAATGATGTTGTGTCCACTGAAAACTACAAAATAAATATTTAAAAAAATTCTCTCTTAAAAAAAAATTTGTAGTCATACAATGACTAGTAAGTCAATGTAACAAAATTTGATGGTATATAAGTTTTCAGTAACATATCAAGTAAGTGGGTTATAACTGCAATTTTTCTTTGGCAGTTCTACATATAATCTCTTCAAAACTACACAATTTACCTCAGCTTATAATCTAAGACGTAAAAATAATTGTCCCCCCCAATCTAATGCCTGACACAGGTAGCTATGTCTAGACATTATTGGCTGATTAAGAGAAGAATAATGTCTAAAGATTTAAAGCTTTAAAGAAATTCTTTTACTGCTGAATTTTAAATCACACACACAAAATAGGTGAGAAATTCTTTTATCATATTTAGAATCAAAATATCCCTTAAAATATTTACATTTTACAGTAAAAAGGATAGCAAAACACAAGATCATGTACAAGCTTAAGTATTCAAGTTTCTGAAGAGCTGAAAAGGAAAATAATAGCCTACAACAAAGCTGTAGTATGTAATAATAAATGCCTTCAATGAGATTAAAGCAATGAAAGTACTCCTTAGACTTCTGATTTCTCAGTCAAAAACTGCTCCATTAAATGATTAGTACAATCTGATTATGAACTTGCTTGGCTTTTTGTTGCTCCTCTACAGTTTCTTTAAAAACAGTGCAATTTAAAACAAAGTTACAGAGCACACATTACTCTCAAATTAGTCATTATATAAAGGACATTCACTAGAGGCAGTAAATATATTCCATAGTTAACCATATTTACCAATTAAGGAATAAAAACTAAAATTTCTAAGCCTTTATTGCATATTAATAAAACAAATCTTTGAATATACAGCAATGTAAAACTTTAAAAATATTAAATTCCTATAACTAGGGTCAGTTTGTATGAAGAAAGGGATGATGAGTACTGGCACAGAGCACTCTGTACCAACACACAGAATTTATTATTCTGCAAACCACCAATAGTAAAAATTTTAAAGATGGCACAATCCTAGCAGGCAATCTTATAAAGATACAACATTTAACAGTTATTTAAATGTAATCTTGAAGCAGCCTGCAAATTTTACCTTTTGCTTTTAGCTCTGTCGTTGTGGTCCCTATCTTTGTGGTACCTATCCCTGTCCTTTTCCCCTTCTCTATGTTTACTTTTCTCTCGTTCTTTGTCCTTTTCATGGTCTTCACTTTTAGGTTTGTCCGGTTTCTTATCTACATTCCTATTATCTCTGCTTGCTTTTCCATCTGCTCCTCGATCACCATGTGATAACCGTGCCCTCTCTTTATCTTTGTGCCCTTCCTCCCTGCTTTTCCTGTCTCTGTCCTTGTCCTGGCTTCTGTCTCTGCGTCTGTACCTTTCAGATTCTTGTTCCCATTCCTTTTCATGTCTCTCTCTTTTCAAGTGATGTGAATCACTATAAAATCTCTGGCGGTCCCCTTTACCCCTATTAAATGGCCTATCCAGTTGCTGGTCTTGCCTGCCCCAAGGGTCACTATGACGCCTTTCTGGTCTCCGAATGTCTTTAACCTGGTAAAAATTTTGCGGGCCTATATATCTTGATGCTTGTGAAAGGGGACCCATCATACGTTGTGGCTGTCCTGGGAGATGAACAACTGGTGGCCAGGGAACCATGGGATTTTGAGTGAAGCCAAAGCCTGGAGGAGGAAGTAACGGAGGTGGTAAATGTGGTGGAAATCCAAACATGCTTTGTGGAGGAAAATTAGGAGGCCCTGGAAATGGAAATCCAGGAGGGCTAGACTTCAGATGCTGAAGGTTTGGCTGCTGTGGCCTCATGGGTGAAAAGTTTGCACTTGTTCTGGGGCTGGTGCTTCTAGAGGTAAAGCTGATGCTTTTAGAAGGAAATTCAGATTGGCATGTATTTCCAACTTCAAAATGAGAAGTCGTTGCAGCAGATCCTCTTCTAAATGGGTGTACAGTTTCAATATTTTGTGTTAAAATATCCTCCTGTACGGGTTTTGCTTGTTCTGCTTTGGAAGAAGGTAAGTTTTCTACTGATGATGAGTCCTGTGCAACCTTTGAATTATCATTCTGCTGAACACATGAGATTTTCTCTACAGAAGACAATTTTTCCTCCACATTGATTTGTTCTGCTAAGTGTTCCTTGTTGTGTGACACACCAGGTAAGGTGTTTTTTTCTCCATTCCGGCAACTATCTCCGTCTTTGCTTTCTGAAGCAGTTATCTGCTGACTCCGTCCTGCTGCTTGCCTAGGATCCCTTTTCAGATTGATAAACTGGGGGGATCTTGTTGTATTAGCAACAAGTGTTTCACTGCAACTCACATTACCTTCTACATTTCCTTTCCCTACATTAGACCTGCACGGAGAACTATTAGAAGTCTGATTATCTTGCAAATTATTCTCCTGATCTTGGAGCAACTGTCTTTTTAATGTTCTTTCTTTATTCTCCACAGTTTCCTCTTGTTTTGACTGAATTGATAAATTTGTTAAGAATGCTTCTGTAGAAACATCTGGTGGTTTACCTCTGAGACTAAGACTTGTCAAAGGCCCTGGAGAAACAGAAGAGGATCCCACTAATGATGCTTCTTCTCCCCCGACTAGTGAATTACTTGTAGATTCTGAAAGATTATCTACTTTAACTTTTACTTCCTTGACTTCTCCATCAGTTACTTCCATTTTATCTGCTTTCTCTGCTTTTGGGTTGGTTTGCTCATTTATAAAGGGAATTTCTTTAAGAGTATTTTGTTCTATCACTGACTGAGCCTGCTCATAAACTTGACCAGTGGTGCCCAAAAGGCTCTGAAGAATATCATCCACAGGAAGAGGTTTATTTGCTAATTCAAGAGTAGAAGGTTGATTTTCCCAGCCAATTAACACCCCAGGAAGGAATCTTAATGGTTTGGGTGGCTCTTGTTTGCTGACTTCCATTAAAGGTTCAATTGCTGTTGGAAGGTCTTCCTGAAGAATCTGCTGAGGCTTATTTCTTTGCTTGTGTAATACAGTTGTAAAGGAATTAAAAAAGTCATTTTCCTCCTCTGGTGCTTCTTCTGTAGAAGTTTCTATTTTACTTTTTTTGTCAGGTGGCAAGGCTATAGGTACATTTTCAGGAACTTCAGCTATATGACTCGTTCCAGCACTAACACTATGCTGCCTCTTCAGCTTCTGACGAATAATTAAGCCCAACAATAGATTAGGTCTATGTAGCTCAAGCCCTATATAAAATAAAAAACACCAACAGTTATTTTTAATCATTATAAAAAGGGTAAATTCTGCATCATAAAATTTATTACAAAATATTTAAAGGATGCTTAGCCCTGTCAAGTCATCTCTAGAGGGCGAGATCCCAAGAAGGCAAACAGTCATTCTTTCACTCTGGTCCTAATTCTCACTTTACACTAATTTTACTCTGTTATTAATACATGTACTTACCAGGTCCATCGAAAGGCACAAGAGGATGTGGAATTTTATCTGCAGCACCCAAAGGAATAAGGTACATATCTTTAACCTGCTTCATGTTGTTAGCGGCTACTCCATAGCGCTTTCTGCTACTGAAGTACGCAAACAGCAAAGTATAAGAAATTTGATCTTCTTCAGTTACTGGTGTAAAGCGAACCACACAAATTTCCTATTCAAGAAAGTAACAAATAGTTGCTTTAAATAACCTAAAACTAGCTTGGTTTTAAATACTATTTCTCAATTAGTAGTAATACAGTGAATTTTATGATGATTATCTTGCCAACTTAAATACAAATGAGAAGACTAAAAGGAAGCAACTCTTAAGATCTCTGCTGATCCACTGACGAGCATGCTTTATCTGCTGGCATTCCACTAGAAATTGAGTGCCAACACCTTGGATCAATTTGTTCAATGTGACACATTTGTTAGTAGCACAGATGACACTGAAATTCAAGTCTTTGATATCTATACAACACCCTGACTTCTAATGCTATAACCTCCGGAGAGCTGCCTATATTTTTGGTACACTGTGAATTAATAGTATACAACACCACCGCCCCACCATGTATTTACACAGTAGTTTCCCCTTATCTGTTGGTTTATATTCCACTATTCCCAGTGGATTCCTGGAACTGCAGATATTATTCAATCCCACAAATGCTGTAATATTTTGCTGTAATATTTTCCTATAGGTACATATGTATGGTAAAGTTGATAAATTACTTATAGTAAGAGATTAACAATAATAATAAAATAGAACGATCTTATTACAATATATCAGTATCAATGCTCTTCTGCTTTGTGACCACAAGAACTAGCCAGTGGATAATGTACACGGCATGGATCCTGGATACGCTGGACAAAGGAATGTCTAATATCTTAGGTTAGAAAGAGTAGGATGGAGCAAGATTTCATCATGCTACTCAGAAGGATGTACAATTTAAAATTTATAAATTATTTCTGGAATTTTCCATTTAATATTTTTGAACCATAGTTGGCTGCAGGTAACTAAAAACTCAAAAAAAAAAAAAAAAAAAAATAAGCTGCCACATAAAAGAGGACTAACATATATCCCAAATACACAAACCTACTGATACTCCAGTTTACAGGAACTGAATTAAGGAACACAAAGGGACTATGTGAAAAGACTTCAAATGCACACAGACCTTAAATTTTGTAAAGTCATTTGGGTAAGTCGTAAACTTTGCTGTTTGCCTCTGGTCCTTGGCTTTGTTTCAAATAGAAAAGACACTCATAATTTGGTATTAAATAGATGTTTCTCCATAAGGCATATAGTCAAAATGGAGAGAGCAAGATCTGCTGCAAAGCCTAAAACTGATTCCAAGCCCTAGGGGAAACAAGTGAATGAGATGAACTCTGGTTCTACTTTTTATATAATGTCTATCATCTAAACTGACTGACTTTAGATTAGAAATCACCATACATATATGGTTGTACATCCCTAATCTGATAATGCAAAATCTGAAACACCTCAAAACCTGAAATTTTTGAGTGCCAACATGTAAACCTGATCTCACATGACAGGATACAAACCAAAGGTACCCTAAACATACTATACATAATTACTTTCAGGCTAGGTGTATAAGGTGGTATAAGAACATAAATGTCTATTATGTACATGCAAATATTCTCCAATCCAAAAATCTAAAATCTCAGACACTTCTGGTCTCAAACATTTCAGATTAAGAATACTTAAGCTGTATTAATAACAACCATCATAATGTTGTTGCCTCAACAATGAAGGGCAGTAATGAAGTATAGGGCAGTAATACATGGGTAGATTCAAGAGTAATTCTCAAAATGTTCAAGAGTGATACTCCCTGTTTTTATTATCATGAGAAAGTGGCGGCAAAAAATGCAGTAATATTTTTTATACTGTCTCCAAGCTTAATTACATTCTAACACTGTATCAAGTTAACGTCTAATATCTATATTGGAAAAAATTACTCTTTTCAGTTTAAGACTACGCATTTTGGATCACTTCAAATAAAAACTGAAAATTTCCAGAAAAGGCAAAAAATTAATGTTCACTTACTCAAGATTTATTCATCAAATGCCTCTAATATGCTAGATATTATGAGATCACTTAGAGGGAAAAACAACTTCTATGATTAAATTATTCCTGTGTAGTACTTATTCTGAGTTACCAAAAAAAAAAAAAAAAAAAGATATAAAATATATAAAGGAAAAAGAAAAGTATTATCACAATAAATGCTACTAATTATTTGCTAGTATGTATTCTCCTTCTTTCTCCCTATCACTAACAAGGCCTTAACTTTCAGCTGGGCACATGACTATCCAAAAGAAATTCCTTTCCCAGCTTCCCCTGCAACTATGTATGTGACTAAGTTCTAACCAGTGGAAATTAAGGGAAATAAAGTGACAAACACAATTTCTGGGTCTTTCTTTTACACAATTCAATAAACAGTTCTCATTTGATACTGATGAGTCAGCTTTTACTATGTCCGACTAATGAAGGAAACACTTTTGGAAACAAAAAAAAAGGACAAGAAGGAAGAAAACTGGTTTCTAAATGGTCCTATAAAGTCAGAGCCACCTAACCACTTTGAACGACTGGCCTAACAGAAGATGGGGGGGAGGGGGAACCTGTCTGTCTTGTTTAAACCAACATGTTTTAGAATTTCTTTATTGCAAAAGCTTAGCTATCCCCTAACTAAAACAAACATCTATAATTGAAGCAAGGCAGAATTCCAGATGAATTTCAATACTTATTGTAAAACATTTCTTTGGAAATGCTGACAGAAGCCACAGAGAAAGCATACCAAAAAGCAGAAAATAAAAGGGAATGCTGGGCTGTTTTGAGCCTTATCAAACAGCCTTAGTTAGTTTTGATGAGGTATATTATGAACATTTGGAATTTGTACTGGCTTTCTTTCCCAGGAGACCATACATACTTGCATAAGAACTCTGAGTAGTTTATTTTGCAAATATTTTCCCACACTGATATTGTGAAAAAAGTATTCTCACCTTGGTTCCTGATGCTTTTATTTTTTCCACATAATCCCAAACTGTCTGAGGTGATATCCTGCCACCTACTTGAATACTATCTGGGAGATCCTATAGTAAAAAAATGTAAATGATCAATTTTCATTATACTATTCATAATTCACACAAACTTAGCTTTAAGACCAATCTGAAATGCTAACAATAATAAGTAAATAAGGCTGAGACTAAAATAGCTCAGTGATGTACACACATACTACACAAAGTTCAACTTCCCCACAAAGTAAATACAAATGAATCAGAAAACACAATACAATATAGAAAACAATTAGGTTTTATTTCAAATGTCAACTCCAAAGAAATGACACCTAAAATAACAACTATTAGGAGTCTTAGTGCCAGGCGAGGTAGTACACACCTATAATCCTAGCAACTCAGGAGGCTGAGGCAGGAAGATCACAAGTTTGAGGTCAACCTTGGTAACTTAGTGAGATCCTAAGTAACTCAGAGACAGATCCTGGTCGCAAAAATGAAAAAATTAGGACAGGGGTTGTGGCTCAGTGGTAGAGTGCTTGCCTAGCAAATGTGAGGCACTGGGTTTGATCCTCGGCACCACATAAAAATAAATAAATAAAGTTTAAAACGAGAATTCAAAAATAAATAAATAAATAGATGCTGGCAAAAATTAAGAAGGGCTGGAGATGTAGATCCACTGTAAAGTGTCCCTGGGTTCAATCCCCAATGCTCCCTCCCCACCAAAAAGGCAAACACACCACATTACAATCCAGGAAGAGTACAAGACATTTCAAAATATTCAGAGAGATGAGAGATGGTTCCCAATTGGCTCCCCCCCTTTTTTCTTTTTGGTGGTAGTAGGCCAAGATATTCCTTAATCATTACCAGTTGAATTTCAGGTTATCAAATTTAATTATAAAATATATTTTTTCAAAGAAGAATAATATTGTAATAAAGCAGAGCATTTTTAACGAAAGCATAATATTCTACAAATAAACAATTATACATAAATCAATAAAAATATTAATAATAATAATAAAGAAATATTTATAACTTTCTTCATTCTATTCCTATCTCTTCCATGAAGTTTAATGAAAATCACAAATGTATAATTAATTGATATTAAATTCACTTAAGTTTATATTGTTTTAAATATTTTGGGGAGGATTTTAGTTTAGTTCCAATCAAACTAAAAATAATTGGAAAGCAGCAGTAGAGTACTGGACAGCAACCACTTAGCGAGGAACCTAATTTTGTATAAAATCAAAGGAGTTTTGATTTAGGACCTAATTCTCCATTCAAAAGATTTATCTTCACCATGACCTAATCAAAGAGTAAATTTCTCAACAGACTTCCCCCGCCCCCAAAAAAACCAATATCACTGGCCCATTTAATTTTTCTCCTTAAATAATTTCATATTTCTAAAATATCTTGTATCATGCAAATTTTATGTAAATATTTCTTTACAACCTAAACACAAAACTGTCAAACAAACTGATCACCATTAGCTAGACAATATTACATTAAATTAAACTAATTTCAGCCTAACCAAAAGATAATTAAAGTTTATGTTAGCCTTAGAAAGAAAAGACATGTGATTTAGGCTTTTTGAAATACTGTAAGAATCTGTTTATGCTCACCGGATTGAGAAAGAATGAAAAGAATAATGTCAGATACGAACATAACAGTAAAATATAATCTCAACTTAAATATAGTACATGTGTACTGATTTGTTTTCCTTTTGCACCCAAATATATTACCTTTAAAATAGTTTTAAAATGTCATACTTTGTCATTAATAACGATTTTATGATGCTACTGTTGTTTATTTTCTATAAACACTATGTAATAGTTTCTTCCTATTCCCCCAGGTATAAAATCAACAAAGGTATCATTGTTGCAAGTATGGTCACTAGTCTCATGGGACTGTCAATTAATTGTAAAGCATCAATTTCCAGTCTACATCATACTCACAGAAATAAGTAGGTAAGATGTATAATCATGAAGCTGGAAAAATATAAGTAGTGGGAGAATCAGAAGACATACTTAACAATAAGAAATCTTCCTGATGGACTAACACTGAAGGCCATAAGCCATGCCAATAACTTATGTAAGTCTACATTTAAAGACAAACTTGGATATCCATACAGACACATTCTTTGATTTTTAATTCTCTGATATATTGAAGTACATTTCAAAAAGAATAAAGGACATGTGGGTCCAAAACTTTCATAGTATAGGATTCTACAATGCTATAAATCCATTTGTGAATTCATAATTCCATTACTTGAACTATTGAATAATTATTATTAATAAATATTTTTTATTATTAGATGTTGGAAACACGCATGCCACTCAAGCACAGAACGACAGAAAAGTTCACAGTACCTCTGTCAAGTATTCAGGGGAGCCAGACACTGGGTAGGCTTTGGTAACAAATTTTGCCACAGAAGGCATGTTGATAAAACCTTTCCAGATAAAGTTCAATCGAGCCAGGAAGGTAGACTCAACTTCAACAGTTCCAGGCATCTCTGGACTAAAAATGATATTAAGAAGTCAGCAGCCTAAAGATCCATGAACAAATCCATTTTTTACTTTGTCATCAGTTACTGCTATTTTAGTAGGTCAAGAAGGCCAAAATATATAAAGGCTATCAAAAATTTTACATTTTCACTCTGCGAAATTACATTCATATTTACTGTCATGTTTCACACAGTCATCCATTTGGCTGGTTTAGGCAGACAGGCCAGGCCCAATGAAGTCAGAACAATTTTCCTTTAATAATTTATCTCCTGCCTCTTGGGAACAGCATCATTAGAGTTGTTAAGCATTTCCCTGCATACTCAACTATCTCATTCTAACCACTCAAAATAAATTTAACTTTCAAAGTTTTACTCTTTTATCTCAGTTTACAGTACAATAAGGTATAATTACTTTCTCAAAAGAAAGGTTCAAGAAATATGTCACTTTTCTGTTTCTGAAGATTTTCAAGCATAATTTAGCAAAAAATCTATTGATTATTAAAGAAATTATAACAGAAAACTACCGTGGAGCAGGAGAGAATGTTGATTTTGGAGACTCTTGTTTCTCCTCTTCAAAGAAATCAGAAGCTAAAATATTGGAAGTTGAAGACAATGCATCTGCTATACTTTCTGCTTCATTGTCTGAATGTTTCCGAGCAACTCCAACAACAACTTTCACTTTTTTTGGAGAGAGATCATCTACAGGTGGTGCCATTCGACCTAATGCCAGAAGGTACCAAAGATAACAAAACAAACCATTGTTATTAACTGCAATTGATTTGCATTTACTTTCTATAATTTATTTAGTTTCTCTGATTCCATTATTGAATAATCATACATTTCCTGGAGTAATATCTAAATTATTATCATTTCATTATATTATAATATAATAGATTATGTTACACCTGTATTTAAGAATCAACAAGAAATTTTACCAGTGTTATCCCCACTTGCCAACCCTAAGGAAACTAGCTGATGTGAAATGCAATTCACAGCATACTGTGGAGGATCTACCAGTACTATATTTAATTTCACTTTTGAATCATTTTACCATTACTTCCTAAATGTAAAATATATCACGAGTAAAATGGAACAGAGAATATAATTCTTCTCTTACTCTTATGAAAAATTAGGAAAAGAATGTTAAGCAACTTAGACATGCTAAAATCAAAATATTATAACAAGAACCCTGAATAGTTTTCTTGGTCCCCTGATAATTTTTTACCTAAGTATATCAAAATCCAACAGTACTGGGAAGTAACATACAGACCTGTACATATCTATCCTACTTGGTGCCATATATAGCATTGGTTCAGACTATACATGCACAATTCAGCACTACTTAAGTTACTAAAACATGAAAACCATCAGTAAAGTTTAGAAGATGACATTGATTTTAGATTATAGTATCAAGAAGGATAAAGAAATCACTGTAAAGCTTTCTGAAAAATAGGTCAAGTCTAGCAATATTTGACAAATATTTTTCTGTGCTATTGTTTATATCTCTGTGCATTCCTGTGTGTATATGTATTCTGTTTTTGGAACTAAAGTTTCATAAAATCATACCATTATAAACATCATCCATAGTGATATTCTCTAATCTATTTTTGTTTGTTTTGAAATGCTGGACACTACTTATTAAACAATTTCACTGCTACTATTAAATGTGAAGCATGAAAAAACGGTTATAAGACACTTGAAAATGTGATCTCTTGATCTTCAATCAAATCATATGCTTCTCTCCTCTTCTTGAATTCAATGCAGGTTCATGTCATTTCCACTAATGTTCTTGCCCTCCTCTCTGTAGGAACACCTCAACCTTCACATCTTGGCTTCAACATCAATTCTTCAGCCAACCATTCTAGACAACACAGTGCAGGCTATGTTTTCTTGCCAAATAAATTTTCAACATTTGTTATTTCTGTAACCTAAATAATCATCTGCCTTTACTACTCGACATCAGACTTTTTCATCACTATACTTTCTGTTTCTCAGCAAAGTACCTGACAAAAAGTGCTAGATAAATGCTTACTGAATGAAAAATCAAGATAAGAATACAAGAGAAAAGGTAATTCCTGAACAAAAGATACAGAATAACTAATGAAGCAGAACAAATACTGAGAATATCTGCTTTCAGGACTTACTACAAATTTAAAATAATCAAGACAGTATGGTATTGGCAAAAGAATAAGCAAAGAGATAAATGTAACAACACAGAGCCCAGAAATAGACTTACACAAATGGTGATGCGTATGTGATTTTTGACAAAGGAACAGACAATATAATGAAGAAAACAGTCTTTTCCATAAAAGGTGCTGGAACAACTAGACATGCACATGCATAAAAAAAGGAAATTTAGATACAAAACTTTCACCCTTCACAAAAATTAACTCAAACTGACCAGAGACCTAAATGTAAACACCAGTCTATAAAACTCATGGAAGATAACACAGAAGAGAAGCCAGATGGCCTTGGGTATGGCAATAGTTTTTTAGAGAAAATAACAATGGTAAGTACTATGAAAAAAAGAATTGATGAACTGAACTCCATTAAAGTTAACTTCTGCTTTGCAAAAGACAATGTCAAGAGAATGAGAATACAAGCACAGACTGGGAAAAAATATTTGCAAAATGCACATTTCACGAAGACTGACATCCAAAATATACAAATATTAAAACTCAAAAATAAGAAAACAATCATATTAACAAGTACAAAAGATTTAAACAGAGACCTCACCAAAGAAAATATAAAAAAAAAATGCTCAACATCATATGTCATTAGGGAATTGTAAATTAAGACAATAAGATACCACAAAGCAACTATTAGAATGATCAAATTCAAAACAATGTCAACACCAAAAGCTGGTGAGGATTGTGAAGCAGTAGAAAATCTCTTACTGCTAGTTTAACATAAAATATGTAGTACAGTCATTTTGGAAGACAATATAAAGTTTTTTACAAAAACATACATACTATACATTCAAACAATTATGATCCTTCATACTTACCCAAGGAGACAAAAACTTTCATCTACACAAAACTTTCACATAAATGTTTACAGCATTTTTACTTGTAAGGGCCAACCAAGATGACCTTTACTAAGGGAAAGGATAAACTGTGGTACATCCAGATGATGAAGTATTATTCAGTACTAAAAAGAAACGAGCTATCAAGCAATGAAAAGACATGGAAGAACCTTAAATACATGAAATAAGTTAAAAAAAGCCAATCTGAAAATGCTACATACTCTATGATTTCAACTATATGATAGTCTCAAAGAGACAAAACTATGAAAGAAGTAAAAAGAAAAGTGGTTACCAGGGTTTGATGAGGGTGGTGGCAGGAAGGGTAAAGAGTACAGAGAATTTTTAGGAAAGTAAAAATACTATTATATGATACTATGATTGGATTCATGTCATTCGACATTTGTCCAAACCCACAGAATGTACCACCAAGAATGAACCCTAATGTAAAGATGGACTTTAGTTAATTACAATGTGACAATATAGGTTCATCAGTTATAACAACTGCACCTCTTTGGTGGAGGGTACAGAAAATGGGAGACAACATGCATATGTAGAATAAGGTAGTCTTAATTTTGCTGATATCCTAAAATTGCTCTAAAAATCATCTTTAATAAAAAGTAATTTCTGATTTATTTTGTTATATATAATAAAACCTGAATGGTATCTTACTCCTTCACCTTAGCAAATTAGAGTATCATCACAAGTGCCCACAATTTCTGATGTTCATTCTAATTGTTAAATTCTTATCATTTAACCTGGGTAAGGGTTCAGTTCAGAGCCCATATAATACAATTAAGTACCAATCTATACCTCAAGCCCTAAAAACCAGTCATATGAAAATATGCTACTGTTCAGAATGGGTGGGTGCTGTACCAAGAACTGACAAACTAAAACCTACTTAAATTACAAATATTAATACTTAAGTATTCCCTTTTAACAATGAATACAACATTTTAGGAAGAAAAATTTCAATTACCTATGCAAATTTTGCAGTTAAGATCAAAAAGATGCTGTCTGTGTTGACTAGTGGTATCTTTAGACATGGAATCAAGCTCTTCTTTTTGTTTTTCAGATCCCTCTGGCTTCTCCAATGACTTAGTGGCTGTAGTTTCCTAGTATAAGTGAGAATAAAAATTAGTTTTATCCAGCAAAATATGACCTCAATTACAAAACACTATTTATATTTCCGTTGATATTTTTCCAGAATAAAATTATTATAGTTTTTTTTTTTTTACTATTTCTTTTGAAAACAATAGCTATTAGGTAAAATAAAGCCAAAGCTGAAAATTCCTCACTCTTCAAAGCTTTTATTAAGATTTGAAATTTTTTCCTCATTTGAAATCTGAAAATAAAAAAGGTGTACCATCTCTCACATAGTCTTAAGAATCTCCTGATTTCTAAGCCTATAAAATAATTACTACAAAGTACCCCAATAATCTACATCATAACAAGTTTTTTAAAAGGTGCCTATAATGCAAATAACCTGTATGCTAACAGAAATAATACTCCAAACAATCTCAAAAATCATTAAATCAATAAGTATTTTAAAGTAGACAGTTTCAAATTTTTTCTTTCTACTTTATGAACATTAAGCAAATATATCTTTTCTGAATCTCATTTTTTTATAAGTTTTAAAACATACATCTATTATCTTTACCTGAATCTCCATGACTGCTTCTTGTTCTTTCATTGGGGCATCACTCTCAATTTCTATTTCACCTTTATGAGTTATTTTTGTGATTGGTCGTCTTTCAACTTCTCTCTGCTCTTTCTCAATCATTTCTATGGTCTAACAGGAAATATATTACAGGAAAGATTTAATTTAAAAATATGTATTTCCAAATGTATGCTTTAAATAATAATAAAAGCTTACCTAAAAATCAACAATTCATTATACATGATTTTTATTTTTTTTTAATCTTTAAGTAATCCTCTCATACAAAATACATATACTGAGAGCTTATATATGCCAGAGATTGTTTTAAGTGTTGAAGTTATAAGAAATAGACTATAACCCAGCCATGAGAATTTCACATGTATCTTATAAAAGGATGCCACTTGGGCAATATAATTTGCACATCAGTGAAACATTATTTATATTTGAAATCTGTTTCCTGATTTTGTACTTTCTGGCAGCTACCACAGGGAAATAAGAACTATCTTACCCCTAGATTCCTAATTTGATGTTCTAACTTTCCCAACAATGGCAGTTTATGCAAAAATCAAAAATAACTCAGCAGTCCACTATTAGTTGTCTCCTGACTGAGCCTACTTAATAACAATGATAATTCACAGTTGAACAAGCTTAGCAACAAAACCTAAAAACATAGCATATACTGCAAAAATTAGTAAAAGGTAGCTGGGAAATGAATGGAGTAAAGGAAGGTAAAGATGGGTCTGCTCATTTTTATTGCCTTTGTTAAGGGCAAATCATCCGTTATAGGAAGAAATCAGATATGAGGCCTAAGGAAAAAAATAAGTTCATTTTCAATGCAGATGATACTTGCAGCCAGTTTCAAAGCATGAGAAAGGCCAGGCAAAGTGGCACATACTTAAAATGCCAGGGAATCAGGAGGCTAAGAAAGAAGGATAGCAAAACTTAGATCAGTTTCTGCAACTTACTGAGACCCTGTCTCAAAATTTTAAAAAATAAAATAGAAAGGGGCTGGGATCACAGCTCAGTGGTAAAACACCCTGGGTTTAATCCCCAGTACCAGGGGAAAAACAAAGAGAAAACTTAAAAAAAAAAAAAAGAAAATTCTACAGGATAGGCATATGCATATTTGTGATATGGAGGCAAAGAAGAAGAGGTAAGATGTTAGGTAATACAGTCCAATATCTCATTGTAACAATAGCTCTAAGTCATATACTCACTTACTCTTTAAAGGTACTTCAAGTTCACAATCCTCAACTGAAAACTATTGGCACCCATTAACTTTCACAATTTTTTCAGTTCTAAAAATGCAGTATGGAGTACACACTGTATGTTTTAATAATACTCCAGTTAAATCTGAGATATTACCATAAAATTAAACACACAGTATTTCTGTGAATGTGAACACTTACACATGGTAACTCAGGTTTTATCAATAAATTAGATCCATATTTTAAAAAAAAACTTATTTTTTCAGAGTTTTTAAAATTTAAACTTCAAATAATAAAGAACTGTAAACTAGCACAAAATTTTTATTTGGACTTATTTCATTTGGCTCTATAGACTACCAATATTCATAATACCTTCAAACTATGTTTATGAAAAATACATATGTGATTAAGGAAAAAATTACCTATTTTCCCATTCTTCTGATTGCGAAAATACAACAATAAATCACAAAGCAATTCTATAGCCTAAAATCAGAGGAAATGAAAAAACCCTGCAGAGATCAAGAAAAACAGAAGAATTTTGAGAAACAGAGGAAGCATGCATCAGCAGTCCCAGATAATTGAGAGACAGGAGGTAAGCCCAGGAGTTCAGGCCAGTCTGGGCAACATATCAAGATCCCCATCTCTTAAAAAAAAAAATGAAACTAGAAGAATATAGCAGAAACAATTAGAAGAACACAGAACAAAAAATCTTCATTACTGCGTATTCTATACTGAATTTATCTCTATATTTTTCCCTAATGATGGAAAAATATAGGTTTTCATAATCAAACACATATTTATAGATATTCTTACATGTCTGTTTTCTCTTCGTCTCCAAGCAGCTAACTCTTTAGAAGCTAGTTCTTCTGGACTCATTCTTATAAGATGGTCAGGAGTTACTTCTCCTTTCAATACTTTTTTAAACAGTATCTGAATGGATTTGAAAATGTAAAGAAAAAGAGAGAGAAACATTTTTTATAGAGAAGCTGCTGTATATAAGCTTGTAATAAATAAAGATATAATGTTGAAAATTCATTTACAAATACTTAATGATTTCTATGTTACATATTACACAAAGTTAAACAAAAAGTTTATATTGTAAGGCAGTGAAATATACATTTAATATAAAAATCAACACAGTGGAGAAGCATATATAGAGGGACCATTATAGACCTATTCAAAAATTGTATTAAGTCTATCCAGGGACATATTCTGTCATAATATCCAATCCATAGTATAGAAGGGAACTACCTAAAAGAGCTTTACTCAATATCGTCCATATTTTAATATTTTACATGTTTAAATTCCGATAGTCTCGGATGGGACACAGTGTAAAGAATCAAATTTAAGAAAAAAATCTAAAGGAAGTCAGTCTTTATTTAATTACTAAGGAAAAGCTAGATTATTCAAGAAATATCTGGGGCTGGGGTTATGGCTCAGTGGTAGAACACTTGCCTCACATGTGTGAGGCACTGGGTTCAATCCTCAGCACCACGTAAAAAAAAAAAAAAATAACAAACAAAATAAAGTTATTGTGTCTGTCTACAACTAAAAATAAAAAATTTAAAAAAAGAAAGAGAAATATCTGATTTCTCCTGGGCAATAATAGCAGATTGCATAATGTAGACTTTAAGTATAGTTTGAGAAAATGCTTAAATCACATATAGTTATCCCTCAGTATCTGCAGGGGGAATGGTTCCAGGACTTCCCATGGACACCAAAATCCTCAGATGTTTTAGTCCCTTATAAAGAATGATGTACTACTTGCATGTCACCTATGTACCTGCTTGCACACATGTCATGTGACATGTCACAACATCTCAGTCAACAATGGGCTGCATGTGTGATAGTGGACACAAGATTATATCATTTAATGACAAACAAGATGTCATTAACTGTCTTCATTTGTGTAAATATGCTCTTTGAAGTTTACACAATGGTTCAATTCACAATGTTAAAGTTTTCAAAAAGCAGCCCTGTTGTTAAGGGATGCGTAACTATAATTTAGACCATCTCTAGGATTACTTATAATATCTAATACAATGTAAGTGCCATGTACATCATTACTAAACTCTTATTTAGAGGACATAAATTAGAAAAATAAGTCTGTACATGTTTAGTACAGAGTCAATTTTTTCCTTTTTAAAAAAAATTTTTTTAGTGTTTTTTGACCTGCTAATGGTTCAATCAGTGGATCAGAATGCAAGGATATTGAAGGTTGACTGTATTGCAGTAAATATCCTTATAGAAATTTATATCACATATGTTCAAACTTTTACATAAGAAGGTCACATTTAATTAATATTCCATTACCTAGAGTCATCTGTAACACAATTACTGCTAAACTTAGGTAAATGTAACACAAAAGAGATCAATCATGTTTAGAACTTTGAAAATGTTCACTGGCATCACTTCTGCTTAGTATACTCACCACAGGTATACCTTTGACACTGACACACACAGGTTTGAGCTTTCCCTAAGTCTCAAATAAGAAATCTCAAGAAAACACAAGATTCAACAAATGTTACTCCACTGATAAAGATATTTAGAACTAAAGTTATATTGAATTTGGTAAAAATGGTTTAGTTTTTTTTAACACACATTCTTATTGTGTTTCATTGGAATTATTTTGGGGTTTTGCTGGAAGCCATCTATATATGAACCGTACTTGAACTAAAACGATGTTGAACCCATTAGGCAGGAAAGCCTGGTGTTGGGAACTCCCAGCAGCAATCCTGCTGGTTTGAGAACACCTGGTTCATGTGGCTTCCTACCTAGCTCCATCACAAGTTCAGCACAGCACCAGAGATGGAGTGACCCACTGGAGCCACACATAGCCTCTCAAAGATTAATGTGGCTTACCAAAATGCCAATCAACCTGTTTACTGTAAGACCCCTGCCACACTGAGAAGTACCCAACTAAGACTCATGAAACCTTATCCCTGCCTTTGATGTACTCCCCCTTAAATAAAGAATCAGAGTCTTTGTTCAGTTGTTCAATTCCAGTTCCTATCAGGACTGTAAGATCTATCAGATGCTCCACTTTTTATATCTAATCTCTGGCTCTATCTTTATTTCTTACCAATTATTTCAGAATTTATTTCCCAGACGGCTCACACCTTCTGAGCAGGAATCTACCCAGGCAGGGTGTTGCTCACCCTGCAATAGGGTTTTTGTTTGTTTTTTATTTTTTTAAATTTATATATGACAGCGGAATTCATTACAATTCTTATTACACATACAGAGCACAATTTTTCATATCTCTGGTTGTATACACAGTATATTCATACCAATTCTTGTCTTCATACCTATACTTTGGATGATAATGATCATCACATTCCACCATCATTAATAATCCCATGCTCCTTCTCTTGCCCTCCAACCCCTCTGCCCTATCTAGAGTTCGTGCTCCCTCTCCCTATCCCAGTATAAATCAGCTTCTTTTTTTTTTTTTAATTTATTTATTTATTTTAGTTCTCGGCGGACACAACATCTTTGTTGGTATGTGGTGCTGAGGATCGAACCCGGGCCGCACGCATGCCAGGCGAGCGCGCTACCGCTTGAGCCACATCCCCAGCCCCAAATCAGCTTCTTTATATCAAAGAAGACATTGGCATTTGGTTTTTTTGGGATTGGCTAACTTCACTTAACATTATCTTCTCTAACTCCATCCATTTATCCAAATGCAATAGGGTTGTTTTTTTGGTTTTTCTTTTTTGTTTTTCCTTTTCTGAGATCAATTCTATGTTGCCCAGTACAACTCTGAAATCCTGGGCTCAAGCAATCCTCTTGCCTTGGCTCCTGAGAAGTTGTGTCTACCAGCATGCACCACTATAACCAGCTTTATTTTCTTGTTGTTTTATTTTTTTTAAATCTAAATACTATTTATGTTTTTAAGGTGTGCGGCTCTATTTTCAGATTTAAATCAAAAGTAATAATACACTGTTATGAAATTTAGCTTAACAGAGTTTTCTGAAGAATACATATTAAAGAATTTTTAATAGTTTCAATTATGCAAGGAAAATTCACATAAACCAAAGTAAGACATGTAGTATTTTAACATACTGATTATATAACACTAAGTACTCAGTACTATGAAAAATTCATAAAGCAGTAGCATGAACACTATTATAGTTGTATGTTGTAAGCTGGGGATACTGCTCAGTAGCAGAGTGTCTGCTTAACATGCATAAAGTCCCAGGTTCCATCCCCACAACAACAAAAATTAAAACAAACAAACAAACAAAATCCACATGTTCTAAACTAAGAGATAATTCTATAATCTCACTTCAATTAATAAATTATAGATCTACTATAGTACAATCTCAGATACTATGTATTCAGAAAAGTTGGAAGCATAAATATTCATAGGTATGAGCAAAACACACTTACATTGTTTTTAGGATCTTTCAGATTAAACATCAAACTTCTATATTTGTTCTTATATTTAGCATCTGTGTCCCGAAAAAAAGAGAAAAGCTCTTTTTCAATTTTTGTGGCAACTTTTGCTGCTTTTTCCTCTGGTACCTTCAAATTTGAGTCTGTAAGTCTTAAAAATTAGAATAATTTAATTATTTTTCAAATATATGAAGCATATATTATGAAATATTCTGTAATAACAATGTGTGTTACCTTTTCATAAGAATATCTTTAAGAGAATGTCTGACACTTTGTCTGATCTGATCTGCAGAAGGCTTGGAAGTTGAAGCAGCAGGAGGATGCACATTAGGCATTCCTTTTTCAACTTTCTTCTTCTTTACCTCTTGCTTCTCATGAGTACCTAATTTAAACAAATACCAAAACTTTAAATTATTTGTAAAAAACACATTTTCCTTTATAATGGATAATGTAAATTTATAATCAAAATTGACTAGTTAAAAGTCACTATTTTAGAAACAAGAACTCAAAGTCCATATTGAAATATTCCTGACACTGAAATTCTAATTAAAATTAACAGTGATTAAAAAGGTGGCCCTAAAGTTACAAACTATATATACTCTTTTCCCAATTTAAATAATGATTTTTCAAAGCTAGTTACTTTTCATGTGTATGTATTAATTAGCTTTTAAAAAGCTATTTTGAAATTTTGACCTGAACTTATTAGGTTAGCGTATAATTAAGTGACCCTACCTAATATCACAAAACCAGTCAATCTCTTGTTCTACTTGTATTTGATATTATTAATTTGAATATTAAGGTCTGCAATTGGTTTCTCTACATCCTCATCAACACTTGTTATCTTCAGTCTTGCATACTGGGTGGTATCTCACTGTGGTTTTGATTTCTATTTCCCTGATTCGTGATGCTAACCATTTTTCCAATCCAGTAAAGGCATGGCCTCAATTTCCCACCATCAAATTTTATTAGGTAGTACAACACTATTACCACTCCTTTACCTACTACCTTTATTCTATCTTTTTAAATATCTTTATCAGGGGATGGGATTAGGACATAACTTTCCTATACTCGAAGTACACAACCAATGAAATTCCACATCATGTACAACCACAAGAATGGGATCCTAAATAGGATAAGTTATACTCCATGTATGTATAATATGCCAAAATACACTCTACTGTCATGTGTATCTAAAAGGAACAAAATAAAAATATCTCTATCAGGAAACCACAACTCTGCTGAAAGCCAACTTTCATCTTTTACCCAAGCAGGTTACAAACATCTAAAAGTAACTGGAGAAAAATATGCACTATTATTTCCAGATCTCATTTTAAACCCATAATCATAAATATTGAGTAATTTGAGCTTCCACCCTAATCTTATCATATTTTCCCAGCAATTTTTTCCCATTTTCCGAGACATCTATTTCACACTCTTTTACTGAATCTTCTCTAACTAACAAGATTTGATCACTTCATATTTCACTAACAAAAGAGAAAAATGTCATCTTACAAATCTTCCCATCATCAAATCAACCTATCGGTCTTCTCTCATAACACAAACCATGTTCCCTACTATAAACTGAGCATCTCTAATCAAAACATCCAAAACCTGAAAATTTTGAGCTTTATACTAAAAATTTTTCAGATTTTGGCAAGAGCAGTAAGACAAAGAGAAAGAAAGAGCATCCAAATAAGAAAGGAGGTAGTCAAATTATCCCTGTTTGCAAAAGACAAGATTTTATACATAGAAAAACATAAAGACTCCACTAAAAAACTAAAACAATAAATAAATTTACTAAACTTGCAGGATACAAAAATCAATATACAAAAGTCATTAGCATTTTTATGTGCTAATAATGAAATTACTGAGAAATTATTAAGACAGCAATACCATTCCCAAGAACCATAAATAAATAAATAAATAAATAGCATCTAGGAATACATTTAATCAATAAAAATGGGTAATCCCTACAATGAAATTTATAAAATGCTGGGTGAAAGAAACTGAAGACACACATACACATACAGACACACAAAAGGAAAGACCTTCCATGTTCATGGACCAGAAGAAATGGAGTATTGCTAACATGTCCATATTCTTCCAAACAATCTACCAATTCAATGCAATGCTTATTGAAATTATCAACAACATTCTCCACAAAAGTAGGAAAAACCACTCCTAAAATTTGTATGGAACCACAAATCATCCTAATTAGCCAAAGCAATTCTGAGCAGAAAGTTCAAAACAGAAGGCCTTATGATACTGACTTCAAAATATACAACATGAGTAATAGTAACCAATAACAGCATGGTTCTTGCATAGAAACAGATACATAGTCCAGTCCAACAAAACATATAATGTTTTGTTACCCCCCCCCCCCCCCGGCAAATTTACCTATTTACAACCAATTGATTTTGAACAAAGGCAGCAAGACAAGTTTCTTCAATAAATGAGTGTTAGGAAAACTAGAAAACAAACATGTCATAAAGTATCCTCTAGAAAAAAATTCCTTGATCCCACATCCACCTCTAGCTATATATAAGGGTAAATACATAATACAATATATATAATATAATGATAAACATATATATAATATATAATAAATATATGATATTTAAGAGACTATCATATATCATTTATATTTCCTTAAGTAGCAAAACACCTTGAAAAAGTTATATGTAATAAATATCTGCAGATCCTCACCTTTGCATTCTTTCACAAACTACTGGGTTTTCCCCTTACTGCTCCATTGAAACCATTCTCATCAATGATCTCTATTTTACTAAATCATAGGTTTAACAGTATGTGTTCATCTTATTAGATGTCCAGACAGCATATGACAATTCAATATTTCCTGCCTCCTGAAACTTCATCTGTCCTCAAGTCACCACAGTCTCTCAATTGTCCTATTTCCTAAAAGGACATCTCTCAGTCTCTTTTGCTGGAATCTCTCCTCCTAGCCTCTTCCTAACTTCCATAACAACTATGTACTGATCAATCCCAAATTTATATACTGATCCCCAAAGGCTTCTGTCAGCTCCAGACTTTTCAAAGTTTTAATGGCCAAAATATAACTTTTCAATTTTCTTCCCCATGTTAGCATTGTCCTCATCTCAGTAAACAATGCCAACACTTTATTCAATCATCCTCTAAGACTTTCTTTTCTTCATCAGCAAGTTCTGTCTACTCTATTGTAAAATATATCTTAATTTGACCATTTTTCCCTATTTCCATTATACATCTGCTACAAGCTACCATCATTTATTTCACAAGATACTGCTACAGATTCCTAACTGGTATATGATTTTTCTTGTACCCTCCTACAATCCAATATTCACAGATCAATGAGATTGACTTATCATTGCCTTATACAAAACCCTCTAAAGGCTTCCCATAACATTCAGAACAAAATATAAACCCTTCTCATGGTCCCACAATACATAATTTTCTATAACCTCATCTTTGACTAATATTCTATACTGCATGCATTACCTTCAAATGACTGCATGTTGACTTTCTTACTCCTCAAATACAAAGCTTGTTACTGCCTCAAAGATTTCACTTACTGTGTCCCTTACTTACTTATCTCTCCAAAAACTCTATACATTTCCTCAAATCTACAAGTTACCTCTTTCATTCTATCTAAAACAAAAGTTCCCTGCACTCTCCCTGATTGTGGCTCTCTATCCCACTACTATACTTTTTCTTCACAGGCTTTAAGATAACACTCTCTTCTTACTTGTCAACTTATTTTCTGCTTCTCCAACTAGTATCCAAGTGCCATGAAGGCAGGGGGCCTTAAGTTCCCAGATCTCAGAGTAATACTTTTGAATTACAAATAAGGCCAACCATATAAACTATCACTACTGCTATTAAAATATCAAATTTTAAAAAATCCCCTATTTATTGTGTACAAAAATAAAACAAATAAATTAGCATATAATAATTTATTTTAATAACACTACCTGATTTTGAAGCTTTTTCACCTGTGCAAATAACAGTTGTAGACTCTTTTGGCATTTTCTCATTTTTTTCTTCTGAAGATCTCCGCGGTAAAACTGGTTGTCCCATCTTTCGAAGAGGAGCTAGCTGCCATTTTTTAACTTCATTATCTCTACAGTCTGATGAATTTTTGCTTTCACCAGACTCCTGGAAAAATAGCACTTAATTCATTAAAATGAATACCACTAAATAATCTTTAAACAGGAAACAAGCCTCAACAGTATATGGATAAAAAAAATTCAACCTAATTGGTATTACTACCTCTTAAGAACAAACATTTTGGCCAGGTGTGGTGGTGCATGCCTGTAATCCCAGTGGCTCAAGAGGCTGAGGTAGGAGGACTGAGAGATCAAAGCCAGCCTCAGCAAAAGCAAGGCACTAAACAAGTCACTGAGATCCTGTCTCTAAATAAAATACAAAATAGGGTGAGGATGTGGCTCAGTAGTCGAGTGCCCCTGAGTTCAACCCTCAGTACCTGCCCCCCACCAAAAAGAACACATATTTTATGATAGGTACAGTGAAGCATGCCTGTAATCCTAGCAACATGGAAGGCTAAAGAAGGAGGATGATAAGTTTGAGGCCAGCCTCAACAACTTAGAGAGGTCTGGTTTCAAAATAAATAAAAAAACAAAAAGAGGGCAGGGTGTGTAACTCAAGGGTAAAGTGTCCCTAAGTTCAATCTCCAGCATCCAAAAAAATAAATAAATATATAGATACATATATATATAGATAGATAGATATTTAAAGATGTACAAAAAATAAGCCTTATTAGTAAAAAAAGATTTGCTATCATTCAAAATCCATTTGTTACACACCTATTTCTTGCAAAACACAATAGCCTATAAAAGAAGGGAGAAAAGGGCAAGAGATTATGTTCCCAATAATGTTAACAGAAAGAAAATTAGGCATAAGGTAAAAAAGAGTTCTTAGCTAGCTTAGATATGCAAAAAGAAATTGTGGAGAAACAAGCATTTCATTTTTCACTATATTTCTAAAGCAAATGAAGTCACACTTGCCTACGTAAGTGTATCAACTGAGTTCTCAGTATGCCTACTGACAATTTTAAATCCCAGGGGCAAAATAAACCATCCTTGCTTCTCTGGTTCTAATTATAACCCACAAAGAATTACTAATGAAACTGAATTCTGAGATCCTTGGTAGAAATTAATCACATCAAACCTATGTGCTTGAAAGACAGAAAAATGCTGTGCATTGACAAACATGATCGTAAGTTTATAAGAGTATATATATAAAAAAATTATTTTCGCTAGAATGGGAATCTTCTAATTTTTTATTTACTTGGGTTTTTTTGTTTGTTTTGTTTTTGTTTTTTACCCCTCCAACTACACTTCCTTGACAACAACAACACATTTTGATATGTTATATGCCTAAATCTGATAGTACCATGCCATACAACAGAAACTCAATAAATGGCTCAACATAAAAATTTAGGGATAGGAAGTGACATTTGAAATGCAGATTCCAGGGCTGGGGATGTGGCTCAAGCGGCAGCGTGCTCGCCTGGCATGCGTGAGGCCCAGGTTCGATCCTCAGCACCACATACAAACAAAGATGTTGTGTCCGCCGAGAACTAAAAAATATATATTAAAAAAAAAAAAAATTCTCTCTCTGAAATGCAGACTCCATAAACTAACATCAGACATGTTCAAAGATTCAATAGGTCACCATCAACATAAAAAAAGAAAGAAAGAAAGAAAGCAACGATCACTTGGATGGTACATACATTTACAAAATCAGACTAACCTCATTTCCTTTTTGGACACAGATACTGGAATAGAGGCTATATACAAGAGGTGATAATTAAGAAACTTTCCAAAGACATATGCTATAAACTGTTTAATGGAGCTCCCAGGTCTATATTATAAATTATTTTGATGCTGACCAAACTAATAAATAGAAAATATCAGAAGGACAGAATCTGATTCTCAAAAAGTAGGACAGATAATGTTGGATTCTGCAAGGTTTTGAAAACTGGTACTTAATCCAGATTTGTTTCATAAGTAGTGTCTGAAAGAACTTGAGTTTATAAATCAGGGGAAAATAAGGGGAAGATTCTGGAGAAACAATCATGTACTTGAATCTATTATCTTCCATATTGTATTGTAGAAAGATTAGTCATTGGGGATGCAAATTTCAGCTCAAACTGAAGTATTTTCTAACAAGTGGAGCTGTTTAAAATGAAGATGTAGTCCCTTGCAAGGCTTTTCAAATAGAAACTGGACTTTCACTTAGAATTGTAAAAAATATTAACAAAGCAGAATGGTTGGACTAAAAGGTCCCTAGGTTCCTTCCAACTCTAAAATTCATGCTATCTTTTAGATTATCATACTTGTCTATTCTTATGTATTTGTTGCTACTATTTCCTTCTCTGAAGTATTCTATAACAAATTAAGGATTTAAAAAATCAAAGGTAATGAAAAGACAAGAAAATTCAATGAGATAAAATATTGTGTCCTTTATATTGCTCCTGTTAAGCATCTTGAAATTTTCTTTTTTTAAATATTCATTTTTTTAATTGTAGTTATACACAATACCTTTATTTTACTTATTTATTTTTATGTGGTGCTGAGGATCGAACCCAGGGCCTCCATTTGCTAGGCGAGCACTCTTCTGCTGAGCCACAACCCCAGCCCCAAGCATCTTGAAATTTCTATTAGAAAACTATTTCAGAAGGTCTAGCGACTCAGGAGGCTGAGACAGAGGATGGCATGGTTCAAGGTGAGCCTCAGCCTGGTTTAATCCCCAGTACCAAAAACAAAGAACAAAAACAACAACAACAACAAAAAAAAAAAAACAGAAGAAAAGAAACACTTCAGAAAATAGTTAAAAATATAAGATCAGGGAAAACTGACCAACCTTTTAGGAGAAAAATAATGAGGTGAGAGTTCCAAGCAAATATGGGGCTGGGGGCGGGGATGAAAACTAAAAGTTATTTTAAAAGTAATTTTTTCCTTACAGGAAAAACAATAGAAAAAAAAATCTTCCAACTTGAAAATAATAATGCCAAATACTTAAAAAATTGACATTTATGGTCTAAAAAGCTTTTTTAAAAACTTGGCAAGCACAATTTATACTTACAAATCACAAGATCACACAAGCATCCTAACAGACAATTCTGTTCAATTCTAAATGTCAAATTATAAAGTACATATTAAAGTCTTCAAATTTTGACTTAATCAAAGAGTTTTTATCATCTCAAAATTTATCAAGTAAATATTTCACTGTTTTATTCAAATTGAAAGGCTCTGAAATGCCTTAAAAAAAAAAAATGCAGCCTCTACAGAAATAGCACAGAGAACCATGAGAAATAAGGCTTGCATATTCTGAAGATGCCACCACCTGGTTTCACCATGATTATCCAAATATTCTTAAATAAATTTCATTTTTAAGAAAACATAAATTTAAAACTGTACAGCAGAAAAACTCAAACCTTGAAATTTCAAAATTCTCATGGTTGGTTCACACAAAATAACAAAATGTACCAATAAAAAGCTCACCCGTTTTAAAATTTTGACCTTGTGCTTCACTGTATCATCTATGTATTTGGTTTTGTCATTTGTTGTCATGTGCTTTGATAACCCAAGCTTTTCACATTCCATTGTTTTATCTTCACTATGGACTTCAACTGTAGCTTGGTTTTCCAAAATATCTGGGTCTAATATCTCAGTCTTTTTATCTTCTTCAGCACAACATTTTACACACACATATTCTTTGTCTTCCTCTCCCATTTGTTGTGCTTGGGAAAGACTTAACCCAACACAATCACCATGAAACCAGTCATCACATCTCCCACAGCCAACCATAAACCTGGAAAAAAAAAAAAAAAGCAAAAAACAACAAAAACTGTGATTTTTAAAAAAAAATCAATGTCAAAAGTGAGACTAAATTAAATGTTCAATATTTGATTTTCTGATATTTTGCATGTTTTCATCTTTACCCATTCCATTAGTTCAACATGGAGCAAATTTCAAAGAACATGATGAAAATGGAATTTCTAAAACTTCAAATTATTTCCTCTGGCATGAGAAAATATTAGAGTGGGGAGGACACAAACAACACGCCATCACAAATAAAAACAAAGGACAACAGATCTGTCCATAAAGAATGCCACATAGAACAAATTACAGAATCGATTAATTTCTCCAGAGGAAAGTGATTTCTGTGATAATTTCATCATAATCCATTCAAGTTACAGCTATAGTCTTTGAAATCATGCATAAAATTGGGGAAGAATTGTTTATCCAAATTATTTTAAGTGAAAAGGAAAAAAACAGCAACAAAAATGTAAGTAAAAACATAAGTGGTCTCTAAAACTGTTTATTAACCAGTATCACTTAAGCTCAAAATATGCTTTCATTGTGTAAGATTCAGCTGAAAAATGTTTATAAACTTTTGGGTGAGAAAGATATTCCTACTAATGCCCAAGTGCTTTAGATAAAAAACTTGTTTTCCAAAGGATTAGTATGCAACCTTGACATGAAGGTAATAACATTCAGATTCTATCTTAATTCCATTCATCTTTCCAATGATGCATTTCTTTCCCTGTACTGCACTTTAGTAGCAAATGCACTAAACAATAAATCACTAATCACACTACCAGTAAGTCTAAAGACATGAGATTCATCATTCCAAAAATGTTTTTTTCCTCAATTATAATTTTAATTACTTTAGAATAAATTGGCAAATCAGATATGTAAACAGCAATGTAAGGGAGACATTATCTCCTTTACATACTTTTTAATCTGTTGTTAGGAAAACTACAAAGCTCACTTCAAATATTCATGTTTTAACATTTTCCTTCTTCCTTCTTCAGGCTAGCAATTCATGGTATGTTTTAAAGACTTCTATCTTCTTTAATCATTTAAGGACTTGTCTAGTCTACTGATTTTGACACCACTGCAATCACCAAGTGCCAAAATTCTTTTAGAACTTTTAGTCTGTAGGGCACACCTGTGATCCCAGCAACTTGAGAAGTTGACACAGGAGGATCACAAGTTTGGTACCAGCCTAGGCAACTTTGTAAGAACGTGTCTTTTTAAAGTTTTTTGAAAGGGCTGGAGATGTAGCTCAGTGGTAGAGTGCCTCTGTGCTCAATTCCCTGTAGTGGGAGGCAGATAGGGGCAGACTTGTAGTCCAATAGGAAGGAGAAATTGTAAAGGCAATACACTGGATTGTAGAGTCAACCTGCTCTAAATAGAGCAGGTTGGAGATCCTGTTTAACACTGAAAATACAAAAATTAAAATCTTAACTATACATCCTCACAAGGTGTTTTAAAAGTCACACCAAATACCTCATTCCTCCATAGCAGCACTTGCTTTTCTCCTGACTCATGTGCCTTTGCCAACTACTTCTGTGCCTTGACTTCTTCATATCTATGTTTATCAATGAAGGTTACTTCATTGGTTATGGCTGTGCTACTTTTATCAGGTTAAGTCCTCATCTTTCCAATGATGCATTTGGTTTGAAAAATTTAAAAAACACGTTTTGGATTCACAAGACATGAAAAAAATTTCAAACAATGGAATATTTGTTTCTAAGACAGAAATAGAAGATCTCTAGATAACAGAGGTGATGTCTAGATTTGAAATCCTTGATGGCTTCATATGTTTCAGTGATAAAGATATTCCAGCCAAAGGGGAAAAAAAGGTTTTAATAATACAGGTGCTTCAATATGTCTTCATTTCAAGTTGCAAAGTTAAAAGCATTATTTCTGAAAGCAACTAATATGAACAGATTTGAAATACTTAAGGAAAGCTAATGGTGATGTCTCTTTACTTCCACAAAGCTGGTTTATGATTTCTTCAAACGAAGTCTGAAATGATTTCAATAAGACACAACTTGAAAACCTGGACTATGCTTTTGTGCCAAATCCTATTCTAAATGTCAAATTATAAAACACATAGTATTTTCAAATTTTTATTTAACTTAACCAGAGAAGAATAAGTTATGATCATAAAATTTTCAAGTAATTATTTCACTGTGCCTTACTTCAAATTTATTTTGGACATATCTCAAACTTAAGAGGCTCCGAAAAGCTAACCTCTAGTGCCATCTACAGATGATATCTTAATAGTTTAGGTTTTATGTTAAAAACATGCAGTTAATCAAGGGAAAAAAATGATGTTGGTAAAAATAATTTCCACAGGGAAAAATGAAATGCACTTTAAATGGAACTAATTCTCCAAAAATGTAAATAGTGACTATTTTAAAATCTAAAACTTAGAAGTACCATAAACTTTTTAAGCTATACTTTTAAAAATGGATGATTTTTCATACACATACACACATAAGGAGTTTATTTTCTTCCCTTTCCGGGTTACTGTACTTTAAAGACATGAGGAAGGGGGATGACACAGTAGGGGTGGCACAGTACAGCAAGAGGTGAAGTAGCTAATAATTACTCTCCCATTATTTTGCCCTGTCCCTGCATTTCTGGTTACTCAGAAGAGAAATTAAGGAAAATATTGTACCATAGATGCTACGGTAATCAATATTGATCTAAAATCACTGTGTAGGATTTAGCTCTGGATCATTTAACTGAACCAAATTGTATAAATTAGTTAAGAATCATTTTGGCATGAGCCAAAACACATTCTTAGAAAATTTTCAAGTTTCTTCAAAGTAAACTACAGAAGCAATAATGAGAACTTCTACTCTTAACAAATTTATGTCACAAATCATTAACACTTTTATGTGTTATAAGATGGGCCTTCAGCTCTAAATAATTTTTAGTGTCAGCCTAGCCCATGTTACTGTAGAGTATATTTGTACTCATTATTCTAAGATAAAAGAATTCTATTTCACATAAACATTAAATCATTTGTTATTACAACAATCTAATATGGAGGGGAAAATATGTCTATAAATATTTTGTCTACAAAATTCTGAGAAAAATCAGAATCATTAGTTCTAGAAAAGAATTACCTTCTCAGAAATAAGTTTTCTTATTTGAACGTAAATCTATGAATACATTTTACTAAGAAGATTTTTTTCCCATTTTTAAAAACTTTATCCAATATACTAATCTATAACGAGGGCCATGAAAGTACAATGCAAATTAAAGATACAAGCATCTTTTGAAGAATTAAGGAAGTAGAAACCACAAGGTATTTAAGACTTTGTTCTTTCAAAATGCTAACTAGCTGATGTTAAAAAATTCAAAAGTTGCATTTATTGAAAAACGAAGCGTTAAATAGTTTTTAAAACAACATTCTTTTGGTTTTAGGCTGAATTAGGAAGAAGCAGCAAAAAATCTTACACAGCATCTTAAAGAGTTAATACCTACTGTCTTTATGATAAATGTAGAAGTTGCTTATCACATCTGGCTATGCCATGAATCTCTCTACTACAAAATATAATTTCCAGCTGGATGCACATATCAGGAGGTTAATACCAAATGCAGTGTGTGTAAAATGCTGAAGTTAAAATAGTCTTTACAGAAGCAATGTCACAAGGGCTAACAATGTCAGATCTGTGTATTAACAAATAACTTTCAGTGTAGCTAATACATGACATCAAAGAGGACTAAAATTATTTCTATACATTTTCCCTTAAATAAGCTCATATAATTACATGTGGATTAAAATAGGAAAATTACTATGTGAAATGTACATTTTGAGTAAATGCAATATAATAAAGCAGAGAAGGCTAGTAGATATGTAAAGAAAAAAGCAATCACTTAGTCTTCTTTATTCACAAGACTGAAGAATTCTGCAAAGCTCCTTCCAAAACTGATTGTTTCCAATGTTTTTTTAACACATTATCTAGGTCAATTACACAGGGTGAACCCAAAATTCCTATACATCTAACATTCTAATTCATTTTCCAACTGGAGGAAAGATACTCTAGACAATGTAGAGCAGATCTCAAAGGTGGCATTAAGTTTAAAAAAAATTCTTTAATAGAACTAACACTTATCTTCATCTTATGAAAATAACTGTTGATGTTGATGAAGTATTAAAAAGCCTGGACAAACTCATGAAGACTGGGTCATTAGAACAAAAGTTTATCTATTAAAAAGCTACAATAGAAGGCCTGGGGTTACAGCTCAGTGGTTGAACGCTTGCCTGGCATGCGTGAGGCACTAGGTTTGATCCTCAGCACCATATAAAAAAATAAATAAAATAAAGATATGCTTAAAAAAAATAAAGCTACATTATAATGTACTTAAACACAGCTTCCAACTCTATGCCCATGTTTCACTTAAGGCTTCTATTCCATTTCTCTGACCATATGTCAAGGTGATGATTTTTAGAAGATTTTAGCAGACACAAAAGAGCTGGCTTTTATTAAAAGGCTACTTAAAAGCACCATCTAACTCTTAATTCTTAAGTCTAAAAATAGTAGGCTCATTTTGAAATATCAGAATAAGGTGTTTTATATAAAAAAACTATAAAGACCATAAAAGTAGGGACAAATGTAGCACTGTATTCAAAAAAATCACAATGTGAAAAAACTGGAATATATTGTTATGAAATAACCCCAGATGCTGAAAATAAGCCTTGTACTGATCATAAATCATAAATGAAGAAACTCTTTGACATAAAACTTATTTTTTAGAGAACCCCAACTCTTCCCCTCTTCCACTCTCCTAACAACTCCTCCCCATCAAAATAATGTATTACAATATACTTTACTAAAATTGTCCCTCTCCAAATTTAGTTTCATTTTTATTTAGTCTGACAGTGCTAGGAAAAGTCACCCTAATATTAACTTTCATGAATAAAGATAACATAATAATGTACAAGTTATAATTTCCTTTTATCGTATCAGTGTTGACAGAAGTTCCAACAGCAATGTGAACACTTGATCAGGACAATCTTGTAGCTGCAAATTCCACTTCATCTTGTTTTCCTTTTCTTAAAAAAGCCAGTAAATAAAAAAATGTATTGGAGTGGGAAGGCAGTGTCATAAAACTATTAATGGAATTCTAAAAAAGAATAATGAAAAGTAATGCTAAATAAACTAAAATTTTGAAAGACTAGAACTCACAAAAAATTACTGTAATCACTACAACATTCCAAAAAGAAATACATGTTCTCACTCTATTTCATGTTACATACAAAATTCACTGTGTAATTTAACAGTTGTTTCAGCTATCAAATTTCATTCCAAAGTCAAGTTTGACAGTTTTGAGGTGATAGTATTAAGTCTTTAATGTGCATTATTTAAAAAAAAAAAAAAAAACTTCAAAAGAAAATTAAATTTCCATTATGACCTTCATACTTTATTACTAGTTCTTCTCAAGCCAAATAGAATGATATATAACTTACAGTCCCCAAGGCAGTGTAACAATTTTCGGATAAGCCAAAGTTTTCAGTATCTTTTTCAGATGTAATTACTAAATTACACTCTCTCTCACTGGTTACAATATAACATTTCTGTATATATCAGCTATTGGTCAGATTATGCTTTTAAAAATGTTCTGGGATGATATATTTGTAATTTCAGTGGCTCCATCTTTCTATCATTTATCCAGGATTGATGAGGGGTTTTTTGGTTTTTGCAAAAGTCTTTGTATATTAAATAATTTCTGTATATATAAAAAAATTCTCACACTAATCCCACCCGCCACAAAACCAATTTCTCTTCAATGTATACATCACTCATACACACACACACACACCTGTTGCCATGTGGTTTTTTGCAAAACCCACATTGCTTGCTGGGAGTCCATACATATTTGCTTTCAAATGAAGAATTATGATCTGAGCCTTCTTTTTTTACGGTAGCTATGTTGTCTGGAATGAATAATGGTGGTTCATCCAAAGAAAAACTTCTGCTGCTTCTTCTCTGGCGAGGTTGTAGGTTTTTCTCAGGTTTTTTTAGTTTCAGTTTATCATCCTCCTTAGAATGCTCAGGGCCTGGGTGTTCAAGCTCTTCTTTTACATGACTAGTGATTTTCACTCCTGATACCTGCTGCTGAGGTTTATGGCACTGTTTCTGGCTGGAATGTAGTAAGTGTCCAGTTTGTGCAGGATGATGAGGTTCTTTAGAGCAACTAGGGTGACCAGGAAGAGGCTTATCACTCAAAGAATGAGTTAAAGATTTGGAAGTTTGCACTACATTTTGATCCTGTGATGTTTTTCTCAACACAGAATGAGCTTGGCTTTTCATAGATTTAGCCCCAGAATTATAACTCTGAGTCTTTGCATCCTTATCAATTTGTTTTTTTCTCACTTTGACTGGTCTATGAAAATTTTGCTGAGATTCTGGTTCATCAGCATTTCGTTTCACACTTTTAACATTAACTTTAGTCTTATTATGCACTACTTCATGCTTTGCTGCAACAGTTTTCCTTGGAGTATCTGTGGTCATGTTTTGCTTAGAATGAGTTACAGGTTTTGTGTGTTTGGATTTTGTGTTTTTTGACTCTAAGCAAGATACACTACTTGACTGGCTGCTCCTATCATTCTGAAGGTTTGCTGTATCATGAGGCTCCATTTTAATATTTTCAGTAATATCCAACAGCTTTGAATTTTGGTCAGGCACATCACAAATAGTATTTTCTAAAATATTAGTTTCTGGTTCAAAAGGACTAGTATCAACCACCTCTGAATTTGATTTATTAAACTCAGTGGTCTTTAGCTGAATATCATTAGACTCTGTGTCTTCACAAGAACCTAACGGTTCCACTTTAGTTCTTTGAAGGGAATTCTCAGCTTCATCAACAATATCCATGGTATTCTTCAATTCCAAATTACATTCAGTCACTTTATGCACTGAACTAGGCAAATCTACAAGGTTCTTCTCTGTCTTATTTGTATCTATACAAGCAGTATCACCAGACATACCAGAAGAAGATTCAGGTTCCTCAATAATTTGGTCATCCTCATGAGATAATTTTGCTACCACCTTTGATTCTTGTTCAAGTTTTCCCTTTGCCCTCCTTTCTTCAACAGTCTCATCCATTTTACCTGAAATGGAATCATTCTGTTCATCATCTTCTTTACCTGAAAACTGAAACAATGGGCTACTAACAGTCTTAATTTCACCTTCCATCAGAGCTTCATTTTTCTTTTCTTCAATACTAACACAAGTCTCTGAAAGAAGTGGACTATTTAATTCATGAGATGGCACATTTGCTTCTCCCTGATTATTATATTTATGCTTGGAATCTAATCCATCTTCTTCCTTCATTTCAAGACAAGATGACACTGAAGAATGAGCTGAAGACACTGATATTTCTGGTACCACTTCAATCTGTCCAATGTGTCTGCTGCTCCTTCTATTCTCCTTATGATACTCAGGTTTTAGTGATGTACAAACTTCTTCTTTAATCTGACATTTATCTGGTTGTTTCACCCCTGCTTTAGGGGTAGATACAGTCTTCCCAGATGCTTTTTTTGTGCTACTTAAAGGTGCTGCATTTGAACGCTTGGCAATAGTGCTTTGTCGCAAACTTCTTACTTGTTCTATCACAAGGAAAAAAATAAATAAAAATAACTTAGCTATTTTGCCATGTGTTTTTATCTCAGTACAATTTATATAATAATATATCACTTCTTTATTCTGAGCTCTAAAACTTATATGAACATTTTAATAAAAATGCTCATATATACATTAACATATACATCAACTCTATCAAAGTTCTTTGAATTCTGGTGGGGTTAAAAAAAAAAAAGCAACTATACAACTCAGACTAATACTATAACCTAATACAAGAAACATTTTCATCAGGTTTCTCTTCCATAAGAAGTATTAAGTAAAAATAAATGAGCTTCCTTTACATTAATGCCCAAAGAAAGCCATCATACATTTTAAATATTAAACATTTCCAAACATATAAAACTGAATAAATTCAAACACTAATAAAATCCAAACTAAAACCATCTATCACAAATAGGATCTACATGAGTTGAGATAAAACCTCAAAAAGTCTAATTCCTTTTTTCAATGTATTTACCTTACATCACAATTTAACATTCAAGCTATTCCTAACTAAGAGTATATGCCAGAGTACAATACACAGATTACCAGAAAATTAAAATTTAAAATATCTAAACCAAGAAAATGTATCAAAATGAAAATGTAAAAAGTCTGAGTTTTTCCTCTTTTCTTATCCTGATAAATCCTCCAGGAGAAACAAAGTGAAAAGAACTGATTAACTCAGTAAGTAGAAAGACTCATAAATTAAAATTCAAAATACAAAGCTATTTCCAAGACTGCATATCCTATACTTCTAAACCAATTCCAGATGAACAATACCATTTTTAAAAGCTCTCTTTCAAAACAAAATCCTACTATACCCCAATATTTCTAAAATTTCCCTAATTTGTCATTTATAATTAAACTGTGAGAAGGAACTATCTGGAACTATTTTTTACCGGAACTATTCCAGGTTATGCTTATAGTCCTGATAAAATTAACAGCACTTTTTTTTTTTTTTTTTTTTATGGTGGGCAGGGGTGGGGGGTACAGGTACTGGGTATTGAACTCAGGGGCTCTCTACCAATGCTCTATTTTGTATTTTATTTAGAGGCAGGGTCTCACTGAGTTGCTTAGTGCCTCCCCATTGCTGAGGCTGGCTTTGAACTCACGATCCCAGCCTTCCAAATTACTGGCGTGTGCACAACCACACCCAACTTAACAGTATACTCTTCAAACTTTCACCCAGTTTGAAAACTAAATTATATAGTCATCCTAATCTTAGGGACCCTTTCTTAAAAAGAAAAAAATTATTATATGGAATGAGTTTCACTGTTGCTTATTCATATACATGCAAATAACATACTTTGATTCTATTTACCCCATGACCTTCTCTTATTCTCTTCTCTCCCCTCTCTACTCAGTCACCTTCCTCTTCTCTAATAGATTCCCTGCTACTTTCTTGTCATCTTCCCCCATCCTCACCCCCACCCCCAGATTCTATGAGGGAAAGCTTATCTTTCTTTTTGTTTGCTTGGTTGTTTTTTTTTTTGTAGTGGGGATTGAACCCAGAGGCATTTCACCACTGAGCCACATCCCCAGCCTTTTTTTAAAAAAAAATCTTTATTTTTATGTGGTGCTGAAGATCGAACCCAGTAGTTCACACGTGCGAGGCAAGTGCTCTACCACTGAGCCACAAGCCAACCCTCCCCAGCCCTTTTTATTTTAAGCCACTTCCTAAGTGGCTTAGGGCCTCAAAATTGAGATCCTCCTGCCTCAGCCTCCCGGGCCACCAGGATTATACCACACCCAGCTTAAAGAGCTGGTTTTGATGAAGAATGAATCACAGCTGCAGTTTGTTTAGCGCGCTATCAGTGAGTGGATCCCATCCAATTGCTTGGCCACCCCTGCCCAAGTACAGTAATTTGAATGTTAGTAAGCAATCTTCATATTACAATAGTAAGATTATCTCACATGAGACTTTATCTTTTATACTCTGCTCCTTCTCTTTAGAACACTTGTTCTTCTTCTTCTTTTCTTTTTTTTTTAATCCTCTCTTTACTTATTCTTTATTTATTCTGATCTTTACAATGGTACACACAGTCTGGGCATCCTCCTGTCAGCAGTTTGAGGATCTCATTAATTCTTCCTGTACATTCCTCAGGGACCCTTTCTTAATTCCTCCAGGACTTGATAATGTATGTGAACATTAAGGAAGCAGTTAATAACTTTTAAAAATTATCAAGTGGATTATGAGTTCATCCAAAGCTCACCTATATATTTTTTAAATAATAAATGTTAATGAGGCTTTATTCCATAATTTAGATGACTTTTAAAGCTTTGAAACCCACTTTATCCACCCTTGAAATAAATGAAGACTTTTAACACTCAAGTGATTGCTAAAAATCATAAAAGAACAAATAGCACAGTAACCATGAAGATATACTGATAAAATATTAGTTTCTAATAGAAAGTAATTTGTTACGCAAAAGATAAAAGTCATTTGTCTCTAAATATAAACTGTTTTAGTTTGGAGCCTGACTCTATTGATAAAAACTATTATTTTTCTACATTATTTGTTTTATTCATTTCTTGAAGTCTCAAATATGCACAGGCCAAATAACTAAATCTGATCAAAAATGCAATTCAAGGAAAAACTCAGGTGAATACTTGCAACAAAGTTTATTCACTTCAACACTATACTACAGAAAGGGATCTTTTTTGAAAAGGCATGAATCCAAAAGAAAAAGGAAGAACCGAAGAGGAGAAAACAATGACAAATTCTTGAAGCAAAACAAGACGTGATTAAAAAGTAACTGATGTAATGCTGAGTGCAGTGGTACACACCCATAATCCTAGCTACTCAGGAAGCTGAAGCAGGAGGATTGCACATTTGAAGCCAGCCTCGGCAACTTAGCAGGACCTTGCCTCAAAATAAAAAATAAAAAAGAGTTGAGGATATATTTCAGGAATAAAGTGTCCCTGGGTTCAATCCCCAGTACCACAAGAGAAAAAAAACTGATATAGAAGACCTAATGCGACAGACACTAAGCTGGCAGGTTTGGCAAAATCCAACACCTAACCCAAAACTGGTGGTTTATCCTCTTGAGAGAGTAAAGTGTATTATACTAAGGAGTATCATATATATATATGAGAGTGGAGGACAATACAGTGAAATTTGTGAGACTTAAGTCAATTAGTATACACTGAAAACAGAGACACCCCAAACATTATCCCTCAAAGACTCCCATAATATGCTATTACAGGAATAACCTAAACTTTGATATGAGGGATTCCGTCAAAAAACAGCAAAGCCAGATGACCACACAACTGTCCTTGTGCTTATAGGTTCCATGCTGTCTTTGTTCTCTATCCTTAAACATGAGCAACAGTCAAGGGTCTAACATTCTAGGAAAGCCTCTAACATGAAACATGAAGTCCACAATACTTTTAAAATACAAAATGAAGGGAAAGAAAATTATGAAAGGAGATAAAAAAAACTTTTTAAAATACCATGAGTTGCTTAATAAGAAAGATATTATATGCGCAAATCCAGAATAGAATGTTAACAAAAGGGCCAATTTCGAAATTAAACAAAAGGATATTTGGAAATTTAAAAGTACAAAACAGTGAAGTCTGAGGAAATAGAAAATTTCAGCAAGTAAAGGAAAAAAGCAAAAGGTTGGAGTATGCAAAATATAAATGAAAGGGCTAATCCGTGCCTTCTAACACTTGCATTAATAGGAATTTCAGAAAGCAAGAACTGAGAAAACAAGAGAATTAACAATGAAATAACTCAAGACATTTTCCTAGAACTGAAAACCAATAGTTTTTAAGACTAAAGCTCTAATTAATCCTAGCTCAATACATAAAATATACTCACATCAAGGTACTTTATCATGATACATTCACACCAAAAGTATCACAAAACATCAAAACACTAGCACTAAAGAGGAAGATTCCACAACCTTCCATAAGAAAGCAGGTAATATATCTCCAAAAATAATCAAAATAAACTTCTCAATAACACTTTTAAGTTAGAAGAAAATGGAAAAACACCTTTAAATTTCCAAAGAAACTGATTTCCAATCTCAAATTTCACTTCCAACTAAACCATGATTCCAAGTGAGAACAGATTCAATAGACTTGCAGACACACATAATTTAAGAAGTTTATCTCCACAATTCCTTTTCTCACAAAACTTCTGGAAAAGGTGTGTCACAAAATAAAGGCACTCAATGACCAAAAAGAAAGAAACAGGAACTATAACAAAGTACCAAGTACAGACTCCTCAGAAGAACAGTTAAAAAAAAAAAAAAAAAGACTCCTGAATAATGGCTTTTTATCAGATTTATAAGGTTAACAATAGTCTACCCAAGGCAATGATCAGAAGGCACCAAGGGTTACTTTTTCAATAAAATGAAAATGACAGAATACCTGATATACAAAATTTCATTAAGAAAAATTCAGACAAATAACAAAACTAGTTGGGGAGTAATCACTGGAACATCCACAATAAATAAAGCAAATGCAAATTGAAAACAATCAAATCCAGAAGACAAAAAGTTGTACAGGAGAAGTAGCTATCATTTACTAAAAGTATCATTGTCAACAACATGTAGCCATAGTAACAAATAATTAATTCTAACAAAATTATATATTGGAAGGATGACAAAATGTGCTTTTATGTGACAGGGAAAAGAAAAGAAAAACTTTTATCATCCAGAGTGAGAAGTCAAGTGATAAATACCTAAATCAGAATAATCAAAAAGTAGGAATATCTGCATGCTTCTTAAAGATATGAAGGTAAATACCAAGAAAGAAAAAGAAAAAGAAAAAAAAAAAGCTAGCTAGCTGAGTTAATAGTGATTTCTACCATGGATAGACAAATGAGTATTGGGGTAGTAGGTGCTGGAGACTTTATACAACAAATTGACATAATCTCATAATTTGAATATTAAAACATTTAATATTAGCAAATATAAAAAAATGATCTCTGCTTGGCAAGTTTACAACCCAATACATCTATTCCTATAGCTCTGACCTTCTGGCTGGACCTCTTTGAAAGAATTACCTTGTGCCATTAAACGAGGTGATTTTCTTGGTGATCTCACTGAATTTTCTTCTACTTTGTCCCTCAAATTCCTGTTAGGTAAAATCAATTCTTCTTCATCAATGGTATCATTGCCACTTTCTTTAACAACTCCTTCATCCATAATATCGTCAAGACCAACAACTAGAGAAAAACAAAAATAATAATAAAAAATTAATTTTAAAAAATATTGGAAGTTATAAGTACTTAAAGGTAGTACAAAAAACTGTGAGATGGTTTTAACATAAAAAACTACAATCATGAAAGTTTAGGTCTATTCCTAACATATGTGACACTGTCTTTGCTAAGTTCTCACATAAATTCAGTTTGAGAAACTTCTACCTCCTAAGGTAACTAGTCAAAAAGGGAACTCACTCCAGATTTGTCCTCAACTCAACTATCACTTTCATTTATCATTTGCTGTCCCTTTAAGAGTGTCACAGGCACCTGGAAGGCTCAATAATCTCAATTTTATTTAAGATACAAAAGAGCTCAACACCTTCAAAAGCCTTAGTATTCTACATTTGATTCATGTCAGGACCAGATATTCTAACTGAGACCCTATTACTTAACAGACTTTATGCTACATATGTGAGAGTAAGCAATATAGTTATACTTTTGAGTGATGCAAAGGGGGGAGGCAGAGAAGATAAAGAGTAAAAGATAAAGAGAGAAAAAATGAAAAACTTAACTTCCCCTTCCCCCAAATGGTGAGGAAAACAGTAGGTGCTTAATACAGTGACATAATTAAATTACTTAAAAGAAACAAAGCCATTCAATTGATAAGAGGGAGGAAGGAATGGAAAAGGGACACTGGATATATTAACACTATTGTCATTAGAATTTTTCTCTGTAGAGAATAAATATCATTTAACTAGCCAATATGTGTAAATAATCCTGAATGTGCAATTGTATGAAATCTTATACAAAGAATATGATTAAATCAAAAGAAAAAAAACTGGATTCAAGCCACTGTCAGAACAATTAAACTTGATTAAATCACTTAACCTCTCTATCAGTTTTCTTTATCTCTAAAATGAGGATAATAATACCTGTCCTACCTACCTCACAGGGTTGTTGTGAGGGTCAAGTGAGATGATGTATGGGAACTCACTCTATAAACTTTAGAGCACTACACAAATGTTAGTTATTATCTTCATCCTAGGGGTTAGAAGGAACCTCAAGAAGTTATCTAGTCCTCATCTTTGTATCCAAGTAGAACTTCATTTAAAATAGCTCAACAAGATAGTGGTCTACCCTAAAATTTAAAGAAAACAAAATTCTTTATAAATATGCTTTCAAATGGTACAATCTTTTTGAAGAGCAATTTGACAACGAACAGAATTACAAAACTGCTTATACGCTGACCATGATAATTTATAAAGAACAGAGGGAAGAATGGATTGTGAAGAAAATGCTAACCAGAAAACATAAGTCTGATCCTCATTAGAGATAAATAAATAAATAAAATGCATGTGTATGTACACTTAGACAAGTGGAAAAGGGCAAGAAATAGATGAAAATCATAAACATTAATTATAAGCAGCAATTCTTATCTCCAAAAGATAAGAATACACCTTCTATTTTCCAAATGTCCTGCTATAAGCATGTATTATTTAAAAAAAAAAAAAATAGAGCTCATGCTTTTAATTTAACCATCACTCTATGCACTAACAGCTTAGGAGAACATGCTCTAGGAAAATTAATCAGGACTCATTTAAGATATAATTGGGGTAGACACAGAAGAGAAACTCCAGTTAGGCTTTTTCATCTATGCTGCTACACATTCTCAAAAATGTCTTGACATTTGCTAAGTTGACCCACTATGTTCATTTTCAAAAGCGAACTTTTTCACCTCAATTCTATATAAAAGCGTAAACATTATATGCATTTCAAAGATGTATAAAAATGCATAGAAAAAAATGGAAGAGGTTATTATCAGTGATTATCTCTAAAGGTAAGGTGGATAAGGAATATTGTTGTTTCATCTTTCTTATACTTTGTTTTCTCCAATTTTTCTAAAATGCCCATGTTTTATATTGTAATAAGAACAACAATCCAAAAGAGGAAAATAGTCGAGGCGAAAAGACTAATACTCTTGCTGGCAGGGAGTGCATACTACGTATCTATTTACAATAAATAGATATCTATTACATATCTATTTATAATAAATAGATATCTATTGCATATCTATTTATTTTGACTGCTATAAAGTTTACAGCCCTATTGATCAAAGTAGAATCAACAGGATTTAGCAAGCCAAAACCAAAGGTCAATTATCAAGTTTTAAATTATTCCATGTCCTTGGAGTATCTGGCATAATTCCCCCTTCTTGAATCCCTTCTTTCTCAGTTTCTGGGATATCATGTCCTCCTATCTTACTAGTCACTTCTTTTCAATATCCTTTGAAAGAACCTTCTCTTCTGCAGATGTCTACAGGCTCAAGAACTTAACAGTTAAGTCCTCCCATTTTTCTTCTTTATCATCATTCACACTCACTCATCCCTAGTGATCCTACCCAGTTCCATCAATTCCTGGGTGACTTCAATATGTATATTCCCAATCCCACATCAGAGCTAATCTCCAGGAGAGTGTTTGACCTCAATTAGACTGTCCAACAGGTATCTAAAAGTTAACATATTGAAAATAAATATAAATTCCTCGCATTCTCCTAGTCCCCATAAACTGTTCCTCGCTGGGTACTTCCAGTTAATAGAACCTCCACTCACCCAATTGTTCAAGCCTAAAACTTGAGAAACATCCTTAGCTCCTCTCCCCGTATTGCTCCCTACATCCAACCAAACATCACATATCTGACCATTTACCATCTCCACAGCTAATACGCTACTCCAAATCACCATCATTTCTCATCAAGAGAACACTATAATAAGTCTCCTAGCAACTAGGTTCTTCTACTGCAACCCCTCCCCCCCACATATAGTTTATTCAGTTATTCCTGTGATCCTTCTAAAATATTATCAGACAACATTAGATTCTTCTGTTCAAGATCCTCCAAAGCCTTCCTGACACATTTAAATTTTGATCCAAGCCCACAGGTTAACAAGATCTTCCTTTGCCAACTTCCTTGACTTCAACTCCTACCAAGCTGATTTCATTCTCACATTGGCCTTTCCAGAACACAAGTTAGCACAGTACTCACTTCTGCATGGAGAGCTCTTCTTTTGAATATCCACATAGCTCACTCTCTCACTGTATTTAGGTTTAACTCAAATCTGAGAAATCTTCTCTAATCACATTATGCAAAACAATACATACTCCCATCACTGCCTACTGATCATTAATACACTTTACCTTTAAAACATGTTTCACCATCTGATATTACATATCTATTTATTTTGACTGTCTTCTCCACTACACTGTAAGTTCCACACATCAGAGACACTCCTTATTTGTGGCTCAAAGACCAAAACCTAGAACAACTTAGTGCCTAGTAGGTACTCCAGAAATATTTGCTGAATAAAAGAATCATAGAAAAGGACTAGTGGGAAAAGTTTCCTTTGGTGAGTGACAGAAAAACATTTTTATCAGCCCAAAGAAAGACATTGTAAGAACAAAATTAGAAGTAAATGACAACCAGCGGAAGGAGGTTAAAGTGGCAAAGATGGGTTTTCTATGTAAGTAACAGATGAAGAAAGCAGAAGGGAAAGAAGTGAGATAGGGACATTACCCTCTATAAAAAGGATGAATGAAAGAGAAAAGAAATTTGAGTGCGGCAGAAGAGGGAAGTGGAGAGAGGTAAGGAGAGGAAGGAGAGAAGGGGGGAAAAAAATCAAAAAAGAACTGCCCATGTTTGTATGTACTAAGAAATAACTTAGAAGGTAAATGATGCCTTCTGCTATGGTTTTTTAAAAGTACATGCGGTAAAAATTAAACCCCAAATTCACATGGTAATAGTATTTGGAGGTGGGGGTCTTTGTAAGCTAATAAGCACTAGATAAGGCCAAGAAAATGGGGCTCCCCATGCTGGCATCAATGGTTTTATAAGAAGGGGAAGAGAGACCCAAGCTAGCAAGCTTATTCTGTATTCCATGTGATTATCCCTGTGATATTATGATACAGCAAGAAAACTCTTACTAGATGGCTGCACCATGCTATTGGGACATCCCAGCCTTCAAAATTGTGAGCTAAATAAAGCTGATTCTTTGTAAATTATCAGCCTATGGAATTCAGTTATAACAATGGAAAACAAACTAAACCAGGACTAATCTTTTGAAAATCTTTTGGTCAAAAATCTACAATTAGGGATGTGAGGGCGATCTGGCTGCGACATCTGTCACCCCATTGATCGCCAGGGTTGATTCGGCTGATCTGGCTGGCTAGGCGGGTGTCCCCTTCCTCCCTCACCGCTCCATGTGCGTCCCTCCCGAAGCTGCGCGCTCGGTCGAAGAGGACGACCTTCCCCGATAGAGGAGGACCGTTCTTCGGTCAAGGGTATACGAGTAGCTGCGCTCCCCTGCAGAACCTCCAAACAAGCTCTCAAAAATCTACAATTAGAACAACTAAGACTACACAAAGAGTTACAAGAATCCATCCTTTTTGGGGGGCTGGAGATGTGGCTCAAGTGGTAGTGCGCTCACCTGGCACATGTGAGGCACTGGGTTTGATTCTTAGCACCACATAAAAACAAAATAAAGATATTGTGTCCAATGGAGTATTACGCAGCACTAAAAAATGACAAAATCATGGAATTTGCGGGGAAATGGATGGCATTAGAGCAGATTATGCTAAGTGAAGCTAGCCAATCCTTAAAAAACAAATGCCAAATGTCTTCTTTGATTTAAGGAGAGCAACTAAGAACTGAGCAGGGAGGAAGAGCATGAGGAAAAGATTAACATTAAACAGAGACGAGTGGTGGGAGGGAAAGGGAGAGAGAAGGGAAATTGCATGGAAACAGAAGGAAACCCTCAACGTTATACGAAATCACATATAAGAGGTTGTGAGGGGAAAGGGGGGGGAACAAGGGAGAGAACTGAACAACAACAGATTAGGTAGAGAGGGAAGATGGGAGGGGAGGGGAGGGGGGATAGTAGGGGATAGGAAAGGCAGCAGAATACAACAGTCACTAATATGGCATTATGTAAAAATGTGAATGTGTAACTGATGTGATTCTGCAATTTGTATTT